GGAGAAACGCGCTGAATGCGGAGAAATGTCGAATTTCACGGGAACGTTCGCTTTCTGGCCATTCGGTTGGATTTCGAGTCCGGTATTCCGATAACCACATGGATTGGAGTGAGCTGAAAAATGGGGATGTTAGATATTGCGAACGCTTTGAAAAAAGGAGTCGTTATTTCCTTTCAAAAAATGGAATTAATTAAAAGAAATAGTTGATAAGAAAGAGATACCTTGAAGCGAGGGTCGTTCCCTTCTTGGATGTGCCTTTTGGCGACGTCGATCGATCAACCACTCCCGTGGCAAATTCGAGATGTTTTTGCAGGGGAAATCCTGTCGTTAGATCGCGACAGAGGAAGAGAGATCGATCGGCACGTCGTACGCCCTACACCAGGGACCTGTAAGACAATGAACCTGGAAACGGTGACTTCCATTAGTCTCGTTTATAAATCATCCCTCGGTCCACCTGCGCGTGCTAAGTGCTGGGGAGAACCGGATGGGGTTGATTTCGGTCTAAGTCGAGCTTTCGAGGGAGCAAAGGCTACCCTCGGATGTGTCTCCGGAGTCTGAAAGTGTCGTTAGACAGGGGCGGTCTTTGAAAGGACTTTAGCTCGCCTATTCAAGGACCTAATTTATTCGGATGATCTTCAGTCTGGGGAGAAAAGATCCATCTATATCATGGAACCCTGAGAGTAAACATTGCCCTCCGAGAAATGTCGCGTAACGTCTGGCTTGAACTTCACCGTAATTATCGGAGTCAAGGAAGGATACGATCACGGAAATCCATCGAGTCGATTGTCGAATCAAAATAATTGCGTTTCCTCGTGTAAGGGGCAGCACGCCATCACTCTGACGCCATTAAAAGCGTCAAAAACAGGACCGAGCCGCGAACTAACGAGAAACAGGTGACGACGGAGACAACCCCCTAGAATTGGAAACGGATGTGGGGACCCTAGACATGGAAAGGCATCCCTGTGTCTTCGGGTGAGACGAACCGGAGAGTGCCAACGTCGGATCTTCATTAAGCTCTTCCCGGAAGTTCGGGCGACTTTCGCGTCGCAGACGACGTTTCGTCAAAACATAACCTCCTAGAGGTCTTATGCTCTGCTGGCTGTTCGACTAGTTTAATTGGACGGTGGAATCCAAGACGCTTTTAGTCACCCTCTCGATAAATTCGTGAACAGAGTTGGACCTGACTTCCCAGGAAAACCATTTTTTCAGGTCCTTGTACTTCTCCTCGATTTAAAGGCGACTTCCCATCCTCGTTAATGTTCCTTAAATTTCAGAAATCTCGGCACATCTGAAACCGATACGATTTGGGTAATTGTTTCACCTCCAACTCCGTGATTCATAGACCTTATAATTATTCCAAATCGTTTCCACGAAATTCTTCCTTGGAGTTCGGGGGACATTTGTCGAGGGCTTTAAAGTACAAAGCATTTACGAGATGCCCCCGACTTGAAGCGCCTCGAAGAGCTGGGACAGGGAGCAGAAGAGGTATATCACTTCGTCGAAGTCGTCGATGCCGGAAGAGGAAGCCGTCCAAACTTTCCTAACGATGATGTATCGCGCCGCTGCGGGACCTCTAACAAGGAAGCTTACTTTATCCCCCCCGTCGATTTGCCTCATTTTAGGAGATATTGCTGAACATCCAAATCAAGGAGACACGTATTTTTTAATATCTCCTAATAAACATTGTTAACGAATTAAAACATCCTCCTAGGATGGTCAAGTGCATCAGGATGCAAGGTTCAGCAGTTTAGTACAAAAGCACCTTACTGATTTGACTGCCACGAATGCGAGAACGATGGCAATGATAAGCGATAACAATGCATATAGGTAGAGGTTTTCTCTGGTAAATCCTGTAATGCCTGAGATTTCGATGCGGCACAATAAATCCTAAAATGAACCAAATCGATAAGGCCGGCTAAAGTAACCTTCCTCGTATGTTGCGGCCATTTTGATACGGGGTGCCGGCACACTCTCTACCCTTGCCCACGATAACGAACCCCAGAACGAACCCCTCCGACACAGCCCCCTTGCTCTTCGCCGTGACTGATCGTCCGTCATAACTCGCCATCATGAAAAACATTATTTTGCGGCGGCGCTCGAACGTCTACAAAATGGTCTTTTTGTCTACTTTTCGAAATTTCTTGCAAAGGTACCGGTAATCCTCGGAAGGAAGGCGAAAAAAAATTCCACGCTCAAATAAATACTTACATCAGGGTCTGAGCCGACTTTTGCGAGATGTAAAATTGATTCCAGCTAAATCGTAGACGACTTGGCTAATACGAGCTTTTCTCTTCTTCCCGCGCCATCTCCCTCTCCGTTTCACCTCGTTCTCTTCTCGAGTATACTCTCTCTATTCGTTTTCACTTTCTGCCGTAAGAGGATTCTCATTAGCCCTCGCTAATGCATCTAGGGATCGTTTTAATAAGCGCCAACCCCTCGGCATTCCCGCTCCAACGGCGGAGGCCGCCATTTTATATTTTCCTCCCTAAATGCCGGGAGTGAATGTATACAGCTCGTCCGTCTGACCCTCGTCTAAGCGATCCGGAGAATAATTGTTGGCAATCGTTGCTCGGCAGACGAATCCTTACCCGAATAATTCATCACCGAAGTGCCTCTTCCTCGCCGAATCATTTATCCGGTGCCAGAAGATATTATTTATGATTATCCCGGAGAACGGCATGTGAGGAGGATACTACGAAAATCAGACTGTATAGTTGAGCCAAATCTATCGCTTCGTCCCCATCGATTTTAGTGCGGCCCTGGCTCGAATGCGTTCGAGTGCCACCTAAAAAGGTAATAACAATTATTTCCAAAATGCAATTTAATTCGCAAGTACTCCCCGGTGAATTATTCTCCCCGCGCGCTCCATTCCTCACCCTCTGCGCTCGCCGGTGGCTTTAATGATTTTTCACGTTTTTCCTCTTTCTCCTCTCGTCTCGGTTTCTCTCATTGAGAAGATCATGGGAATTCACTGAAATATATTTGCCAGGACCGCCGCCGCTCGTCCTCGGCATTATCCTAATGACGAAGTTCCATATATGCAAATCCACTCGGTAGTACTCTCCGCCCTCGGAAACAGTGACGTTTAAACAGTAAAACAAAGTTACGATTCGTTGGGGATAACCTTCCATTTTATTCGCCCGCTCACCGACGGCTGGCTACGTTTCGTAATTAAATTTATGAGACTTTACATTCGGGGAAACGTCGCCATGGTCGACGCCGCCGTCGCTGCGGCGATGCTCGACGTCGTCGGCGTCCTCCTATCTACTCCGTTACGTGGAAATGCACTTCCGAATCCACGTATGTGCGTGCGAGGGCACCGCGTGCACTCCGTCATCCATCCTGCAAAATATATACACACACGGGAAAACGTACGCATACTCACCCGAGCCCGGGCCCACATGTAAATATGGCCGACCGCACGTAAGTATGTACAGCGGCGGACATGAATATCTTCTCATCATGCCCTGATGGTACCGTATTCGTAGGGCAGACATCCATGTCCGTCAATGTACGAGTGCCGAAGCAGACCCACAAATGTACCCGCGTGACCGATACTGGGCAATCGCAGATTGTATCTATACTTGAAATCTGTCCAAAGGGACTTACGAAAATTCTAATTGTAGTAAACAACGGTAGTGCGAAGACTCTGTCGTCACCAAGTTCAAATCACTCCTACGCAACGCATCTAACCATCTAACATCGTTTGCTACCAAAACGGAGACGTCGATTTCAACCGCTAGATGGCATTAGCGTCGAATTCGGAGGGAGGTAACCAAAATGTTCTTTCTTACTCTGACGAGTAAAACGCAACGTGTAATGAGCGATGTTTAGCGACGCTATAAAAATGTGAGCGTCTCCTTACACATATAGGTCATGCAAAGTATAGTCGACTTTAGTTAGGTACTTCGCGTGTGCCAACACGCGGACACCCTCACACGCAAGTTGGACGCTACGCCTAGATCCTCGAATTTTCGGCAACCGTTGCTAAGGACGCTCCGAAGCATTCCTCGTTAACCTAAAAATCGCGAAAAGGGTACTTTACGCGGGCGAACATTCTAAACGTTTTTCTCCACCCACCGAGCTCAACGAGTACTCGTTTTAAAGATAAAATATTAACGCGGAGATTTTCGATAAAGTAATCCCTTTCTGGTTAAAAGCTCTCAGAAATTATTCCATTTATTTTCATGATAATTATCACTTATCAGAAATCACTCGGAAGCGTGCACGCGTCAATTCTTTATCTCTAATCCTCTATCGGTTCCGAAATACATTCACATTCTTTCTGTACAGGAAATCGCTGTCGTGTTAATTGTCCTTAAAAATTTTTTCTTCAATTTAAATTTAACACATTCGCGACCGGCAAATTTTTTCCGATTCAAATACTGAGTACTGGCGGAAACAATGAAATTCTGAAACTGGTTGTCGCAAACTTGTATCGTGTATCGTTATGGACGTGATTCACGTCAGCGGCAACCAGGAATAGAACTTCATAAGACGTGAATTCACGTCAGCGGTCGCGAATGTGTTAAGGCACAGTTTAAGGAGCAATAAATAAATCACTGTACCACCGATATCGAGAGATGGGAAATATAAAATGAAATCCTTGTTTTTCGTCAGCTTGTATCGATGCTTTAATAAATGCATTAATGAACGTGGAGTTGCGGTCGAACCGAGCGATATTTTCAGGCGGATTTCAAACGTTTCGTCGCTCTTTCCTTCCGATTCCCTGTTCCCGTTGAACTGGCCCTCGGTCCATGCTTCGAGTGGGAAATCAATCGCGACCGAGGGAGGCCAGGACTTTCGCCTTTCCGCGGTAAACTTCGCGAAAGTTTCTACCACCGGTACCGACGCGCGTTTGTCTCGACGGGGCGAGGGTGGTCTTCGTCGAAGGTCGCTTATGGCCGCCACTGTCAACTTCCGCGGACTTTACGGGAATTCTACAAATCTCCTGCATCGTTCGTTGCATCGCCAGGACTAAAGGCGACGCACCTACTTCTGGAGATGCGGGAATGTGCGACATGTTTTACCGAGTGACGTACCGTGAGTATGCCCTCGCCTCCATCTTGGTTATAAAGGTTATGGAAATAAGCAGAACCTCGTTAAATGTTCCCGTTATTATCTCCGTCCCTGTTAAATTAAAGAGATATTTTTTATAATTAAAACAGGAATTGTCTTAACGCTGCTTATCCTGAAAAATTTATATCTCAGCCTAGAGAGATACGTTCGAGTATTTAGCATAAATGATATAAACAATTTCGTTGATTAACTGCCACTGCTAACGTTGTAAATGCTCTTTTGTGCTGCAGAGGGAATGTAGGGTAACGATTAAATATCCCGTTTCATACAATCCGAGCAAATTACGATTGACAATAAGTTCCATCCGAAAATTCAATCAATTCACTGCCAGCGGGTATTCAATCCTGCGGCAATGAGGACGTGTAATTACATGGAATGATGTAAAAAATGAGTTTGAAATGCGCATTGAATCATTAAAAATAGGTGTTACATTTGTTAGAAATTATGACAAGCGAGTTTTGTAGATGTAGTAATCACTTTGCGGAATGGAAATCTCGTCGGCCAGCTAGTTCTAAAATACACTAGGTGACGATTAATAACTTCCGTTTTAATTAACAAAATGTAAAGTTGGATCATTCGCAGGGTCTCGTTGGAAGTAACGTTCGGGTAATCACCCTCCGATATCAAGAGAGCTCTCGGAAAGAACTCGAGATCGCGACGCCGCTATCTGTCAGCTACTGTCGACAACTTTTCGCGATCGTTGTTTTTGCGTTCGCCGGCTAACGTGATCCAGGAAAATCATTTCGGAACGCCGCTAATGTACGCGTGCCCCGGAATTAATTATCTGGGGAAATGGGCGGGATTAATGGCTGATCTGGTTTGTTCAACTGGGGCGATCGCTCGTCGCCGTAACGGCGACCACTCAGGCTCGAAAGTCCCTTGAAATTTTGCATTTTTACTCGACACTTCCTCCCAATCAATTCATCCTTTATTCGGTCTGACATATGAAGCGCATTCAGAAATGAAAAAAGTATCTAACCACCGTACCTATTCCCCTCACAGGATACATGCAGGAGCTGATAAATTATAATTTTACCAGAGACGAAGATGCGCGTTCCGTGGAAACTTTTATTTCTCAGCGATTAATTTGCCTCGTCTGAGTCACGGACAAATAAAGAAATAAATCATGGAGGAGTCTTTTGTTTGACCATATCGACGTTTGTTTAGGACCGAACTACGCGGGCCATGTACTCTTTGGGCGATCTGCAGCCGCTGTATCAGCTGTTGAATCAGGAGTGGAACTCGCTGATGTACGGGGCAGCAGAGGAGACGTTGATTGAGCAGCTTCTCTCTTGGCTACATAACTTCGGGTTCTATATATGGGAATTAATGGGGTACACCGCGCCTCGGAATCGCGGCCACTACTCCATCGGCGTAATAATCGTTATGACTCTGGCTATCACGTAAGTTCGGTCAAGTTCGATCTAATCGGTCGGCCCGTAAACTCGCCGATCTAGTTCCCAAAGGCTCCTGGGCTTGCAGAGTATAAGCGTGTTAACGAGACCCTACTTGGAAAATTTCAGTTTCTTCGTTTACAAGGTGATGGCCGAAGTACTGTCGTTCGACTCGAGGAAGCGCGCCTCCAAGAGGAATCTGCACGTCGGGAGGATAAACGGGAGTGCAATCGTAAGAGAACTTCTTCGTTCACTGGAAGAGACCCTCGTGGAAACTGGCACGACTCTCGTGGCTCTCATCGCGCTCGTGAAACCAACATTAAGGACCTTTATAGAGCAACGTCCTCGGTTGTGGCCACGACTGATCGAAAGTAATTGTACCGAGGTCCCTCGTCCTTTTATCGCAGGATACCGAGGAGGTACGGAGCGAGTCACGTTAGCTGTAGGTACATCTTTTTTTCCGAGTCTCGTGATAGTATCTATTCCTCGAATGCTTTACTTAAATCCTACAAAATTTCAGACGTTGAGAAAAGAAGACACACTCGCCTCGGTTACGTGACTCACGTCGTATGATGTACGTTAAAAAAGTGCTTAGGCATCCTGCGATTTTAGGTAAAATAAAAAAGACGTGATATTTTTGCATAGGTATAATTTTTTAATACGAACGGGTAGACAAAGGGGAATTAAAGCGCGAGTTTTTATTTAATTCGTGTTTATGAGCTGACGCGCGTTATTTCCCGTACCTTTGCCCTCCTCTGATTAACGGACTGGGGGATTTGCAAAAATATGACATTTTTAACATATCACCCCGTGCAGATTTCATGAATTTCATTTTCACAGGTACCTCGTTAACCGTGAGGACGTCTGTAGAGAATTCTTTGGGCCTCGACAAATTCTAAAAGATCGACTAGTTGGAAGCCAGTTCGCCGCGAGGGAATCATTCGGTGGACGAAGTGACCGAAAGTTTATCTTTCGCTTTATCTCATTTATTAGAATATTTATATTACCGACCATTTTCGAATCTTGGTACACTTATTTCTGTTAAATATCGGGCAGTCACGTTTGGTCTATGGACGAGCATTGAGGTACTTGACGAATTGAAACGGTAATTTGGTAAAGATGCAATCAGCCGTAATTGTAGACCTAACGTGACCGTTAACGGCTTTGAGAATGTACGAGGAGAGGAAGATTCGACTTGTTTATATGAATTACTGGTTAAAGGTTTTTTTAACTTAACGACCGCCCGAAGTAAGAAACGACTACCCACTGCAGAGCACCTGTATCGTTTACTGTAGGATACTTTGGAGGAAATTCGTTCGCCGGTACAACTGACCAAATGTTCCTCGTCTCTCTACGTTCTGACTAGTAGTGATTCGATCAACGACGATTCTGACTCGCTGGATCCGATTTCGAAAGATGAGGCGGATATGCACCCTGAAGAAAGGCAGATGAAACATGGCGGAAAAATCACCGACTCGCCGAAAATGGGAGGAGCAAAATCAACTCCCGCTATCCGTGGAAAGATCGATTTACTGCGTAATGATAACGATTCAATGGTTGCTAAAAACACCGACGATACACATGCGACCATAAACAGCAACTTAAGACGAAGGTCGTTTCGCCGAAATGAGAATTACACATCCGAGGTATCATCTTTACTGAATGAGTATTGCAAAATTGAATACAATTATTCATGATAATTTAAGTAAATCCGTCGATCAATCGTAGATAAACAGGGTTCGTTTCATGTTTTAAGGATGATTAAGTTCGAAATATTGCAACGTAACATCCTGTTACTTTTCCCAGATTCGACATCAAAAAAACGTGTTGGGACACCGACGCGGGCAATCACTGCCGCAAATTAATTTAGATGCAATCCTTAAACCACCGCAAATTCCTATGGACAATTATTCAGTAGAACCTGAGGATTCATTAAATATCAAGGTCTTCTTATAAACCACCATTAATTTTACATTCTGTATTAAATAAATTGTAACTAATTATTTGCACCGCAGATCAATAAGGAAAGGATAGGTGATCGTAACCTTGATAGACATGAATTTAAAGGAAAGGGGCAAATGGAAAATCCTAGTCATTCCATCCGGTACACGTTATTATTATTATTTACTGATATTACTCATTCCTTTGAAATCGCGAAGTAGTCACTTGCACCTAACATTACTTGAGTACCATTCTTCCAGAATATTGTTTGATATGTTTATACTTTTTTTCGAAGAATTTAGTCGCTAAGTGCGTTCAATATTTCCAAACATTATCTCATGTTTCTTAGTAAAAAAAAATATATATATATGATAGAACTCGAATTAACTTTAAGCAGTCAAAAACAAGACGACCTAATTTTGCCTGGAGATGATTTTGAAAGTATCAATAAACCCAATCACCAAATAGAAAGGGATGATAGCGATTCAAGTACTGTACCACGAAGCTCCAGTCATCACAGCCGTTCCTCGTACGTACATCTTCCTGTACATTATACGTTTTACGATGAATTAATCAAAAATTGGACCAACTATATTTTCCAATTTACAGTACCAGAGCCCCTTCTACGGTTTCCCGTCGTGCAGAGAGTGCATCACCGTCCGTATGTCCAAAATGCACCCGTTGCAGCAGGGTGCAAGTGCATTACAAAATTCCACGACGTAGTCCCAGCGCAGAACCTTTGACCGGCAGTGCTGAACATTATGCAACAATGAAATCACGTTTCAGTGCACTCGACTCCACAAGTACATGGCGTCGCGCCGATGGTTCGCTATTCCCTAAAGTAAAGCTCGATTCTGTTACTGTCGATGAATAGAAACATTTTATACCGAAACGCTCGCTGACAACATCAGATGTGTCAGTCCGATGTCGTCTTAAGAAAAAAAAAAAAAAGAAAAGAAAATAGACTCATTTATCGTACTTAAAAACACTTGATACGTCTACTGTAAGTCTACCATATGTTAAAAAATTTTAATTATCTGTGAAACATGAGTTTCCTTGTTTCTGCAGGCTCGAAAAGTCAGTTACCATTAGTTTCAACTCAACGGATTACGCAAAACGGCTGCAAGTGGACGGACATCACGGAAAATAACGTGATCTACAATGATTCTGTCGTAAGTTTACTTAAGGAGTGTATCTTAAAATAATTACTCTCTAATGTACCTATTGTAGTTTCAACCAATTTATTTGAATTAATTCTACAGCAACTCGATGCAAGATTCGTCAAGATCGACATTCACCCAAGGCCACGGTATTGAAGAATAAATTCCTCGTTTACCTAGCAAACCAGCTAACTTACTCTTTACGATCCAGAATAAAAGCGGTAATTTGAACTCTGCCGAAGTGTTCTTTATGCCGGAACTTCAGCGCATTAAAGTTTACAAATCTTGAAAAAGACGTACGATTACGAAGACGTTGCAACAGCTAAGGGAAAAGAAAAATTAAGATTTTGCTTCTCCAACAAAAACTTTTAATTTATATTCATTTACTCATAAAACACGTTAATTCACAACTACTTAACTTTATACTGAATGAAAGTATGCAAATGAAAGTAAGTTTCTAATGGTGAATGCAATAAACTGTTAGAATTTCAATCAAGTAAAAATACTTTTGAATAGCAAGTGTTATTCCTCGTTGATCGAACATTGAGTAAAAATGTTTGAAAAATGCATTCATTTGATTTTCATTGCAAAGGAATGGTCGAATATCAAGACTAAATTATTAATTCATAATGTTGACAGTATTGATTAACACGTACACATATTTTTGCTAATAATCATATAATAATAATTCATATATTACACTACTTACAATTAGCGTTGAAGTTCAATATAATACATCATTAGTGCGGTAAATGCTACCATTTGAAAAATCATAATGAAAATCATATACTTTCGTTTAGTATTTACAGGCTTGAGTATTCATTTCATGAACAACCTGTGTATTATTTTGAAATTACAATGCAATACAAAAACAAGGAATGTCAGATAATGATCTACATAAGCTTCTTCCTCTTTAGAATTATTTAACGTACAAAATCATGCACATATATATACAAGTAGAACTACAAACCAACAAACAGTTGTTAAGAGAGCTACAATTTTTTTGTGGAATGTAAATTTGTTTCTATTCGAAGTGTAAATATGAATACAAATGTATAAATGAATACTGCAAAGGAAAATCTGATATGGTGATCAAATTTATAAATATTCTTCCAATTGAAAATTTCGTCGTAATAAAATTTTTATGATATCACCAGATGCTTGAGTTTCAGTTTTGCTAAGCGTGGAATTGTGATTTATAGTTACACCTGTTTTGTCCTAAATTGTTCACAGCAATTGGCGAGATTCTCTTGCCGATTGGTTTTAAACCATTGCCTATGTTCGCATAGATAAGGATATAAAGGTATTACTAAAACACTTATGTCATCCACTGATGCCAATGGCAAACACGATTCACCGTTGACATCAGAATTTTCTGGCTTCCCTCTCCAAACTCCATCAATTAATCGACCTCTCGCTGTCTGTACCAATTCCTGAGCCCCCATTGTAAGCCTAAAATAATAAATTAGTTGATTTCATGAGAAAAATCTTTTCTATATTAAAAATATTTGAAGAATTGAGCTTCATACAACAAGAAAGAATTAATATGCATATATCAGAGGTAACTTAATCAGAATCCTGAAAACCTAAAGATTAAGAAAATTACATAACATATAAAAGTACCTGTATTCTAAAGATGGTGTTTCAGGTGCAAGAATTTTCCGAAGTACATTTGCGGCATGTTCGTCTGAAACAACATCCCAGAGACCATCCGTAGCTATTATTACACAGTCCCTTTCGCAAAGATTATATTTATCTAAATTTAAAGATTGTATTTCTGGCTGAGATGATAAAAATGGTTTAATGCTGATTCCAGTATTGACAGCTTTCAATCCATGATCACCGAAGCCTCTCGTGACACCTATTGTTCCCATTACCCTACTCTGAAAAATAATATCCTGAGTGCTTAAAATGAAATTCAACATACACTTCGGGTAAAGCAACAAATAAATACTATTACCCTTTTTCCACGTCCGGATACAAGAGGCAGTTTTAAATCAGGATGACTTAATGTTTTATATGCCCAACCAGTCATATATGGTTCTCGGTACAACACTGAGGACCCCAACTCACTCTGTAATGGTCTTCTTATAAATTCTAACGGTGTAAATTGACCTTTCAGCAACTCTCCACTCCTCAGAAAGCCTAATGCTCTTACTCGATCAGATTCTGAATCTGGTGTATGATCTCTTGTTAAAGCCCTTTGAGTATCTCCATTAACAAGCACTGCTCTATTTATCAACAAAAAATTATTTGTATATATTAAATTATCCATTTGTTATAAAAAAATAATATGCTAATTCTGAGATCTAACCTAGAATCTCCAGCACCAGCTGCATATAATCTGCCATTTAAAAATAAAATAGTAATAGCTGTACAACCACCACCTCCTCGATGAGCTTGGGCTTCAACCATTTCATCCATTTGTCTATAAGCCATTTCAATAGCGCCGGTAACGAGATCTCTGCTTTCTATCAAATTATCTGCATTTTCACTAAGCAATACATGACCAGGTATTGCCATTAATTTCTCCTGTGAAAATCACAACTTATAAGTATTTAAAAAACCTCAAATATACAATTTTAAGATATTTACTCACAAGAATAATTCTATGTAGGTGTAATCTTGACATTAATGCAACTTGATATCCAGCATGACCATCAAACATGGAAAACATTACATATGGTAAAGCTAAATTTACATCCCGCAGTTTCAAATCCCCTCTTGTTGCGGCAGCTTGATCCTCGTTCCAAGTACTTTTTCCCGCATTTATACATTCTGCATATCCAGCACACCATGGTAGGCGACTAAGGTCTCTTGGAACTATGATAGGCCTAACTTTGTGATCTGCACTGACCTAAATCAAAATTGATTGAATGAAATATATTTTTGCAATCTTAAAAACTTCAAGAAACAATTGACCACACAAGTATACCTGAGTCTCTTCATTTGTTAAACCCAAAAAACTTGGTCTACTATAAGGTTTAGCTTCAACTTGCAATAATACATTCGAATTAATATAATCCGCAACAGTTTCATTATCGGATTCAACAGAATACTCCAAACCAAGATCGGTAGCTCCGACTGCATTTAAGAACACGGATCTAAATCGATTCAACATCCTTTCGCTGTTGCTCCTTTTGCTTAAACTGTGAATACCCTCGTAGTTTTTATTCTGATCAACCCTGTAGAGCTTATATATTATTTCTGAAGCTGATCGCAGAATAGTACATCACATTGTACATAAGCAATGTCCAAACACTAATTCATAAGAAAACAAAATTGATATTGTACTTCATTTCAGCCATAGAAAAAATCTGCAAAATATAAACCATAACTCAGGTTAACAGTCATTAGTTAGATATTTTCATGGGTACATACCTTGGTAATCAATTCTATTGATGAACTAAAATAAAAAACTATGTCCGTATTTTTCCAACAGATGTATTCCGTTGACATCAGTTCCTGAAATGTGTCTTCTGCAGGGAGATAACAAGTCAGGAATAAAACTTTTCCTTGTATCGACACAGACGAAGTAAACTAGGATAAATTCAAACAACCACTTTTAAGGTGCTTTATTCCCGAACAAAAAGTTGTAATATTTATAAAGACAATTTTTGACACGTGTCTCGTCTATAATATGGAGTTTCTATAAACATTATTAATTCCTCCATATAAAAATAGTAAAAACGAGAAAATATGTAAACTAGAAGGACAATAATTAAGTGTTTATAAACATCGTTAACGTAAGGAAGAGTTTCAGCTCGTTAAAATGACAGAAAATGGGATGAATGAAAGGTTTATTTGATCTGATTTGATCCACAAAGGAATTGTTCAAACCAAGGCCGTGTATACAGGTCGGGAAACTCCAATGGTGTGGGGCGAGCAAGGGGTCTATTACGTAAAGCAAATTGAGCGAAAATGTGAAAAATGAGTAGTTCGGAAATCTCTCTTACTAAACCGGAAGTGCTAGTGATCTCGTTCTTTCATATAGGGAATACGTAATTCGACGAAACCTACGTGAGATGAAAGTGCGAGAAGTCAGAGATGAGTTGGGAGATTGCTCACGGGAAGGGTCGCGCGATCGCATCCTATGCTGCCCTCTGGTTTCGTACGTTAGCTTTCACCGTTTTTTGCCCCCAAGGGCGGCGCAACGAATTTCTGGTAGGGGCTCGCGCACTCGCTATGGCGGTGTCATCTACACTACGGTGTACACTCGGTGTAAATGCACTCGCAAAACGAACAGCTACGGTACGTCACTTCCTTCAAAACGAATGCCAAAGTGTGCACTTTTCGTAAAAGTGTAGAAAGTACAGGTAAAACGACAAACCTATAATACCGGTGGTTATAAAACCGGCGTAAGGTAGCATGTGTAAACCTATATACATACTTAATGTTGTGTGCTATATAAGGTTATGTATGATGTATCTACATATATATTTATATTGAGAACTATGACTGTGAAAATTATACGATCATGTATTTTTTTATACTTGAAATACTAATATTATAATATAATTATACATGCGATTCATAGATTAATATTAGGACTAGAATATGTGTTCAAATACACATACAAAATGGTTTATAGAATGGAATCAGGGCAGTTAATATTTATTAAACCTTATCTTTTACAGAGCTTTTATTCTTATTTGATATTATTCTCCTAATATCTTTTAAAAGATGAGTGACGATAATTTTTCCGAATACTTTGAAAGCTATGAAAATTTGGATGTAAGTTGCTGATATATGTACAATGACCGTGGCTAGAGGTATTGGATTTTACATAATTTTTATTTTTTAGGTGCATCACTTAATGTTGTCAGATGAACCCCGAATGCTATCGTACAAACATGCAATACTTGAATGTCAAGAAATGTTTATGGACAAAGTGGTCATGGACGTCGGTGCTGGAACAGGTACAAATCACTCAGAGTCCGACTTTGGATTTAATATACTCGCAGGAAAATGAAGAATCAGTTGTCATGCAAGTTTTATTTTCTTAACCTAGCTTGTTAATATGTTTTAATTAATTTTACCATAACAAGTGTATTTCTTTATGCTCTGATGTATAAATTATATGTTTATTAGGTATACTATCAGTATTTTGTGCTGAAGCTGGTGCCAAAAAGGTTTATGCGGTTGAAGCTAGTGAGCTTGCTAAACTTGCTGAACAGGTTATTAATGAAAATAGCTTGAAATCAGTTGTGGAAGTGATAAAAAGTCAAGTTGAAAATTTAGATATATCCATTATTGGGAAAGTGGATATTATAGTTTCAGAGTGGATGGGCTTTTATTTGGTACATGAAGGAATGCTCGATAGCATAATAACGGCAAGAGATAAATTTTTAAGAGAGGATGGTCAATTATTTCCTTGCGTGGCTAAGCTGTATGCCGCACCTTGTCAGCTGCCAACATTTTTTGAATTCTGGGATAATGTTCACGGTGTAACTATGAGGTAATACAATGTGACTAGTTAATTATGCTATAATAATTATATACTAATAATATACGATCAGGTGTGTTGGAGAACAATACAGAAAATCTAAATCTCTTAAGCCAGAAATATTGCCTGTAAACCAAGAGGATCTCCTTGCTGAAGGGAAATTACTTGTCTGGTTAGATTTACATTCTGTAACTCATGACGAACTGGATACTCTTGCCGGAGTCGATACTGTAATAACGTGTAATAAGAATGGAAAATATCAAGGTGTCTGTATTTGGTTTACCGTTGAGTTCCCAAACGGGCACGAATTTTCTACGAGTCCTATGAATCAACCAACACATTGGAAACAAACAGTGATCGTCTTACCTGAGAGTAACGCCGTAGAAAAGGATGAACCAATTGCATTTAAATTGCAATTAAAAAAAAATAGTGCTACCTTAAAATGGTACAAATTAGAACTAGATTTGCTGGATGCAAATGACGTGGAACATGAATTACCTTGTTATTGCTATTTAACAAAGTGTATAGTTGCGCGAACATATATCAGTGAACAAACAAATGATACACATAGCGATCAGGAATAATATAAGTATATATTTTTAATAAACTTGCTATATAACATTAACATTATAATATATGTATTTTTTATAAATGTCCTATTGTGAACAGATCACACGACAAACGCATTGCTACCCCTAGTTGTGCACTATCACAAAATAATCTACTTCATAATACTTTACAGCCATACTAATATATATATTTCTTACGTTTTTCACTATGTACACATAACGTAGTTCAAATATCTCCTATATCGGAGACCATCTCAACATTGATAAACAAGATATACGAACATTCAAACATTATTATTACTCTGCACGATAGTAAGTCCAATTTTGAATTCTGTAAAGGAATTTCTAAATACACTGCAGAATAACTTGAATGGAATGCCGAACCTATTATAATTATCTTATTTTATATTATATGATCAATCGTTCAGGTCTTGGTAATTTACAAATAGCATTATGGACGGGCATAGACATCCATCCAGCCAAAGTTATGCCTATGGAATCCGCTAATGCGGTGATTCCTAATGAAAATTCCCGATCATCGGGTGGAACCTGTACCAAGATAAATCACTAATGTTATTAACGGAACAGTCATAAAAGCTCAATATTAATCATTTGCTTTTTTTTTTCTTTACGCTACAATGGTAGAATGCTTTATTACCTCCTTTGACATTCTGTAAAATGTATTTACATACGCTCCTCCTCCAAGAAGTCCTTCCCAAAGAACGAAGGCGATAATGATCCATATATTTGGCATGTAGTAATACAGAGCTTCGAAGAGTAGAACAATAACGTTCATGAACTAAAAATCACCTCTCATTTAAGTCACATTGCGTTCGCTATATTATAATATGAATTATTGAAGCTAAGATGCTTCATTCGGATTAAGTAATCGAAAGATTATCGATTTACCTGCAAAACAGCCATAATCCAAATTTTATTGATGGAGATTATATTGACCGATGACCGCGAAATGAAGACTCCTATTTGATAATCAACTTGCAGCCACCGGTATTGTTGTTCATGCGTCAGCCAAATACCATCAAACTGAATGAGCTCAATCTATAGAGGGTAAAATTGTCTTAATCTTGATAAAAGTAAGATGAGCAATTTTCTTTAAGAGATTGATCATACCAATCCTTGATTGATGAAGTATTCGAAGAAGTACACGAATCCAAGAGGGAGCATGTATTTAAGTAGCTGAGGAACTATACGCAGTTTGTCCAGGAAACTTTTTACAGGAACGTCGACTATTTGTTGCTGACTTTCCGTGCCTTCCTTGACGATGGAAATGTTTATTGGCTTAGGGTGTACCAAGATCAACCAGAAGGTTATCGCTTGAATCGCTGGCACGATGAGCATTAAAAGCAACGTGTTTTCGGTACTGATCCACATTCTGAGCCCGGCATAGGACAGAGCTCCTATAACTCCTGCACCTCCGGTCCCTGATGACCATGTCGAGATAACTTGCCTAATTTAAAAAGTACCATTAAAATCGTCATCTATTCCAGTCTGCATCTATTATCAATTGTCCAGTACTTACTTGCTGTACCGATGACTGTAACTGAGCAGCGTCACTTCTCCCAAACCTGAGGAAAGTGATGTTATGGCCACACCTAATATAGCGAGCCATTCCGCATTACTCAACGACACGGCAAGGAATCCTGCAGTAGAAAAAAATACGCAGATAGCCAGTCGGACACTGTAAATGTTAAGAATATTTGCCTTGAATCATATACAGTCGTTTCCCCGATACCGGAAGTACCTGTCAGGAAAGAAATGCCGAAAATCGATTCCTCCATAAAGTAAACAGCAGATTTTAATTCGCATGTACTTACAAATAGCAGTTTATAATTTACAGAAACATCCGTGGAAAGATACTTGCGGATTTCTAACATATTTATCAATGTATAGAGATAATACTTACTGTATAAAAACCGGCAAAAATGGCCCTACTAGTTTGATACCTAGAGATGGCAAAATATCTGCCAAAAGTATGGCACCGGTGGAGAGGGTGTTACACGAACGGCTGGACGTCGAATTTGTAATTTCATCTTCTGGGTGCTGTTCCTGTTAAATTAATTCCGAACGTGCTTTTATAAATTCTTCGTTGAGTAATATTTTTTAAGTCATTGTGGCTTATGTGAGAAAATGAGGTAAAAATTCTTACCGTCGTTTCAAACTTATCCTTCAGGATGTCGTGAGCGGCGCTTAACATCACCACGTATCCATAATTATTGCACAGGCCCAAAATCCAAAATGCGACGAGATTCCTCCATCTAATGCCACAGCCTTCGTTCTCGGCGTTAGACTTCGAGTCAAGAGTTTGCGTCACGTTCAATGATTTCTTTGCCATTGTAGATGGATTTCACCTTGCGGGTCCTTGGCTCTGCATGCGAATTCGAAGTGACTTTTCCTCCAATAAATATTCCTTAGGGACAACTCGGGTCTCCCTTTTGACTTTCCGCTGTTAAACTCGATCTTCGAGTCGAACTCTTTGACCATTCCCGACCTGGCTGCAAATATTATCTACGATGCAAGTATTAAATAACAAGGAAATATGAAACGATGCTTTCCTACACAGCGACCGACCTGATTTTTAATACACAGGATTCGTCGCTGGTCACTCAAATTAAGGAATTAACGCGTTCCGATAATTATGGCTATCTAGGATTACTTGTCCCATTCTCCGAATTTATTGCAGGTAGCAATTTACAATATATCGAGATATCTGATATATTCTCCATCGCACATAATCGCCGGAAAAATGAGAAAGAGTAGCCGAGGCGAAGACGGAAAAAGGCGGATAAAAGTAACATTTAAATACCGGTTATCAGCAATTGTTAAGATTAATGGCCCATTTTAATGTTTCACGTCGGTGTTAATCCAGTGTCTTTTAATTTGTATCAATTGACAATCTTTGACGGCGGGGAGAATATCGTTTTATCAGCTGATCGAGGAATGCGTTTAATCGCATCGTGTCTTATTGTCACATCTTACCAACGAAACTTAATATCTGGACTCGCCATCAACGTTGGGGCAAATAACAAATTACATATCCACTGGTCACGGATGGGTAATCGGAAATAACAGCTACAATTACGGTAATTGGAATTAACAGGCACACTTTGCGCGACGATCCGCGTTTTAAGGAATGGACATTTACCGTGGTGCCATTTCTTAGTCTTGCCTTATTTGTATTCAATTACAACTATTTTGAAAAACGGAACTATCAACTTTGAAGCATACACACGCGTTTGCAGTGCGGGCAAGTAGGAAAAACGGAATAAATTTTCACCGCGATAAGAGGTCGACTTAATTGATAAATCTAAGAGCGATTCCACTTATCTCGCGTTGAATTTCTATCGCGATAATCAGGTGTCACGGAAACGTTTAGGGGCACGCACACGTATCACCGTGTCATTTATTGTATCTAACACTTCACAATATATGACTTCTCTCTACCGGTTTCAAACAAATACTGCACTCCAACTCGTTACTTGTACGTACTCATGGAAGCGCGTGGTTACCGATTCATCGACCGACTCTTGGAAGGCCACTCGAGTTCTTACACTCCAAGATTCGAACTTACATACCCGATAACTATTTACGTGTGTATAATGAGCCCGAGTATACATATGTACGTAGTCAAGGAAACGTGTATCTCTTGCGTTAATCTCTAGACACGGTACTTAACTAAATATAAAGTTTGAAATTCCGATTTATTCACTCTGTCTTCGTATACCGTCTTACAATTAAATCCCGGTTTTCTTTCGTATACATACGTAGAATTTACATCCATTAATTTGCTTATCTATTTCCTATCCGCTATTATTTATGCCATTGATTTCCTTATCTTGAGACCAATTTGGTAAGCGTTCTTTTCAAAATAGCGGCAGAAAAATTTAGGTGAAGTTCGATCGAGGACGTATTGGTTGTAAGTCAAGGAATTTTCGGTCAAAGAAAAAAATGTCGATCGTAATCAGTGTCTGGTTCAGACGTATGACTCTTTGCAGCGAGATAACGCTCCTTATTTTCAAATTCTCTGGGAGGGGAACATTTCAATTATATACAACTGGGTACGTGGGCTTACTTGAATATGGCATATTTTGTAATGATTACAAGTTATCAAGAGCTAGGAAGTACTCAGTGAAGGAATAGAAATGAGAGATCATACCTTCGATCGGATAGGATCTAATCGGCGTGACGATTCCACGTCGACTCGCTCGATCGCACGAACCAGACAAACTACTGGTGTACCTCGGTAAATCATCTTCTATTGAGAACACGATTGGTGGACGGTTCCTTTCGAACCGGAACGAGTAAAAAAACGAAGCCCCCCCACGTTGGCTTTGTTCTCAGGCATTTCACCGATAGCCGACTTTGCACGCGCGTTGCCGCTCGATTTCGAAAAGTCTGCTTTCCCGAAATTCCTTCTAAACTCGCATTCGAGGCGCATCTACTAGGACCAATTTCGTACTTTACATTGTTTATTTACATTTACTTTATTAACCGACATTGCACGCACATTGCCGCTCGATTTCGAAAAGTCTGCTTTGCCAAAATTCCTTCTAAACTCGCCTTCGATGCGCATCTACTTAAATTAATTTTGCACCTTACATCTTCTATTTACATTTAAGGGAAATATTTTTCAGTCGCAGCGAATAATAAGTATCGACGAACAAATTAGAATTTGATATGCTCCAAGTATTATCGCGCAATTCCATTAAAGAATTGACCACACCAAATACGTCGCGTCGTCAATGACACCAATTGCGATGTCACCATTGTTTCAATAACGCGCATTGAATGTGAAGCGTACTCTCATAATCTACCAAAGGACGAATCCTTGAACCTGTTTTATGAAGGAAGTTAGTAATGTACGTATGACATTGCCGTTCGTACTTGTATAACGGTAACAATAGCCATTTACAATTTGGAAAAGTGAGAAAAAATAGTACACCTTAAATTTGTAACCGCGTAAAAAGATGGTAATTGTATTGATGATGACGTTAAGCTCGCCAACGAATTCCTTGTCGGCCGAGTGGGATATGCCGAGTTCGCTGTGCGATAAAAGTTGGATTCACTGAGCTGTTTACAGAATTCTATTTTTCACGATACGAACCGATGCGATTTTCAATCACAGAGATATTAATATAATAATCTGTATTTAAGCGGGACGAAGCAGCTTCGGAATAAAATTTGAATAATCCAGTGGTAAATGATTGACAAAAATAAATGCGAGGAGAGGATGTTGAACCTCGTAATGTAAAAGGCCCGATTAACTCCCTCTAATCGCAATTGATTTCAATCGACCTTTTATTAAGATTACGCTAAGGAACCACCTCGTATTAGATAGTTGAAGAACGGTATACGCAGTCTCGCTCCAAATTATCAAATACATTAAAAATGTTGATAAACGTAACTCTTTTTTAGTGTTAACAAATACTTGATCCTATCTGTAGTGCTTTTATACCGAAACACATATTGCGTTACTAGTTACAAACGAATTACTCTATGAAAAATGATAAATATGTGGGGCCGTGCTAAGCGATTACGAATTTTAATAACATACTAAACTTAAATTAAAACCTGTCGACTAGTATAGATTAATTTAAGGTATGCGAATCTATCACTCAGTCTGCGTAGATTGATGCGCTCGAGGTGGTATCGGAAGTAGAGGGTCTGCAACTTTAAGAGGTCCCTGTTGAAAGCTTTGAGTTTCGGAAGATGCACTTTTCGTCGAGACTGGATTCGCCGCTTGATCGTTCTCCGAAGGATTACCTCTCATTCTTGCGATGGGTTCTCTACATTTGATTTTAACCCAAGTACGGTGTTTTTTCGTAGCAGGACTGTTTGTAGTTTCGTACTGAGGACCTAAATTTGCGGAGGACCTTGCAGGTGGGCTTTCGATAAGCTCCCTGGATCTCTTTCCGGGTCGGTTAAGGACGGATGAGGTGGCGTCGGTCAAAACGTTTCCAAGAGAAGTCGATGGTAATGAAATAGACGACGCTGGATCGGCATTTTCATTTTGCACAGCCGTTCTCCTCGAAGCGCTCGACGGTACACTGGAACCTTAAAAAATGACATTCAATATTTTAGCTTTGATACCATTTCATGGACAATCTTACCAATTCTCCCAATGATTTTCTACAACGAAACTTACCGGATAGATTTTTTATTGCACACTTGACTGCACGTGCCACAGCCGAGAATATTCCTTTGGAGCCTGTTTCCTCGTTCGACGTTGATAATATCCTAGGGATTCCGAACATTGATAACGCGGAATTGTGGCCCGTAGTTCTCTCTACGGCAGAAACGCTAACGTAGCGGTCTGACGAGGTAATGGTCCTCATATGTTTCGACGAAGTCGCATCCGTCCGATTCATAGCATTTAACTCAATCGCCGCAGTCTGCTCCAACTTTTTAAGACTGGAGTCAATCAACGGAACCAAATCCGTGGTGTTTAAGCTACCATTGTTCTCCAACAATAACATCATGACGACCCGTGATTGTCCAGACCGACAAGAAATTGGATGAGCCGCATTGCCGTTGCTCAGATTTTCAGTGGTTTTCGCGTCCGCGTTGCTATCTCCTTTACTTTTCACGTTAACGTCCTCCTGCGGCGGGTTTTCTTCTTGGTTTCCAACAGCTATCTCTGAAATTGACTCTCTGGCCTCAAAGAATATTTCATTTTCAGTTACATTATATCCGACGCTGCTACTGGTCTCTGTTTTGGCAAGAAATTGATCAGAGAAACGGACTTTTTTAATGGATTCCCTGCGTTCGCTTATACGACTGATTTTTGATAGGGACTCACTGGACTCTTCGTCCGTCGGATTGGAATCTATGATGGCTCCTTGAATCTCGGTTAGTTCCATGTCAGCTTCGGAAAGGTTTGGCTCTTCTGCTTCCCTCATTACTTCCAATTTTCTGGTAGCACTGCTCTTTTGATATTCACTGTTATGACAGGCACTAGGAGTTCGGATTATGTCCAACAACTTAAAATTGTCATCCAATAATTGTGACTTCGACAGCGAAGAAAGACCGGTGAGATAAGCACTACGAGTAGTCCCTTTCGTGTCGTCTTTCTCCAGATCGTCTCTTGTAGGTAAAGAATATGCGTCGTAGTAAGTTGAAGACATGGAAGATGCTGGAGTCTGCGTATTCGGCGTTTTTAGAGAAAAGTTTGGTACATTAGGAGTCTTAAATTGTGGATAATTAGTTTTGTTTGCACAAGCTATGTGCATAGGTGTACTAGTGTTCCTCGATAGCTCTGGAGGAGAGGTGAAGTTACCAAAGCCACGATTGCGTTCGTTATCAACGGATAGTCTCTTTATATCCGATTCGGAATGTTTCTGAATGTCGTTTAATGGAGACGGTGTATCCAATACTGGTAATGACTTTGGAAATGGAATACTTCGACGGAGTAGATGTTGGCTACGCTCCATCCACCAGGTGCACTTTTCAGCTTGCACCAAGTCTTTGTACTTCTTGTATTCTTCACCACAAAGCGTACATATCAGTGGTAGATGAGTGATGGCTATATGATACAATAATTCCGAGTTTTCATAGCACTTCGGTAGAGCTAATTTCTGAACCATACATATTGGACAGTCGTGATTCAGCTCGGAATGTCGTTTTGTTTGATGCGCCTTTCGACAATCCACGCAACAGAATACTTTCTGGCAAATTCTACAACGTTTCTCCTATCGAAATCGAAAAAATGCCGTTTAAATAATTAACTTGATATATAATTTTAAGGATAGAAGATAAACTATTTCACAATCGAAACTTACCTCTAACGGGGGCATATTCGATGATAGGTCACGATGTCGGTCACGATTGTGTTTATCTCAGGATGATGATCTACCTAAGTAGTTGTTATGGTCTCTATTCAATGCCAGATTCCCACTCCTGTCTTTCTAGAGACAAGTGTCACATTTGAAATCAGTGCAGCTTGACATGGCAGTGTAACGTTAGCTTATAAACTAAACAGTGATCTATAAACTCTGTGATATCGTACGACTTCGGATGTATTCTATTATTAAGAAAAGATATTGCAAGATAAAAGGTAGAAATATTAGAATTTATACAAATTTCTTAAATGATTGTTATTATTAATTTTGATGAACAGTATTAACTAGGATTGTCGGATACAAATAGATTAGCTAAAGATTCTGTCACTGTATCTCCCGAGAGAGCCATGGAGTTTTCTGCACTCGTTTCACATTTTTCGTTATGACAGTTTCCGAGTTTAACCTTGTGTTGAATAGATTTTCTTTTAAACTCTGCAATCGACACTTTTGGGTCATTCTGAATTACTACACTGGTGGTGAGTTTCTTTAAGTCTACTTTTTCCTGTAAAGCAATTGCTTCTTCGTACGGCGGATGTATTGGCTGCATATTTGGTTCACGATGTTCATATTCTTCATTGCCAAGCTGTACAAAAATATTTGAATGGTATTATATTTCATAGCAATTTCAAGCCTTATAAAATAATGCCGTAAACTACTGCGTCATGAAAAAGTAATTTTACTATTGACTTACATTCAGTGGGTAGCAAGTGTCAGAATCAGGTTGAGAAAGATCTCCGCAGACAACAAAAGGAACAAAGGATCTATTAATCCCAGTTAGCTCCGCTACATCATAAGGTTTGTGAGTCAGGAGTGGATTCAGCATGTGTGGTTCGTAACCTTCTGGTGGAAAATAATCCTTGCACACGACAAATGCTTCGATACTTGAATTCCTTGAACTTCTTGGCTTTGCGCAATATACAAAAGTGAAAAATATTTTTAACTGAGAGTACAGAAGGGATAAATCATCTCCTCGAAAAATTTTTGCCACGAATGTGCCACCAGGTTTTAATATATGTGTAGTAATATTTAAAGCTGCTAGAAGAAGCTGCGATTGAATATATATATCCATATCATGGAGCCCTGTAACTGAAATATGCTATAGGTAATTAATAAAATCTTAATAAAATACCAGTATAACAAATTGTAGAGAACTAACCATCTGGTGCACCATCGCAAACCACTAAATCTGCATGTGTATTCCCAAAGTAGCTAACAATTTTCTTTGCGGTAACTACATTAGTTATATCGCCCTGTAATTGTATAACTCCTTCCACCGGGGCCATTGCCTGTAGATCGATGGCAATGATTTTAGCAGGCTCCTTCTGCTGCGTTGAAGTATCATCCTGTAATGCTTTACTATAAAAGTAATATTCAGATTTAAAGCAAGGTTGAAAAGACTTCATATCCATTATATGTATGTATCGTACTAAATACTATAAATAAAGCTTCATAATTTGCACTTACTTCAATCTACGGGATAAAACTTGGCTCCAACTGCCTGGAGCGGCACACAGATCGACTGCCTTAGTTACACCTGTACCAATAAATTCAGCGATAAATTTTATAATACAAAATAGGATGCATTTATTTCGAAATTTTTCTTCACCTTCAAATATGTGGAACTCCTCGTCAATTTGAATAAGTTTAAATGCACTTCTAGCTCTCCAGCCTTCTTCTTTAGCTCGTCTGTAGTAAATGTCCCTTTTATCTTTAGACGTTTTACCCATTTTTGCATTAATATATATATAAAATATCGATAAAATAGCTAAATAGAAATGTTACCGTTTAAAATAGTAAAACGTACGTGTCTTCTAAAAATGTTTAACAATGTTTAAAACAGTCTCTGGTTTAAAAACCTGGATTATTTTTGACAATGAAATCAAGTAAGTTAGATGAGTAGTTCTCATGGAAAATGTGACACCACTCTAAACTAAAGTCGGATAGCGCCGCCCGAAGATGGATTCAGTACTACATTCTTTTTCTTACAAGAACGATGCAGACATTATTTTACTCAGTCGGTAACAATTTAATAAAAGCCTTAAAATACGAAAATTCACAGCCCGGGGATTAACAATTAATAGAATTCGTTCTAAATGAAAAATTTTAAATTACATGAAATATTACCACATGAATAGTTTAAAAACGGGTTTTATTTGCAAAATGATCAAAAGCGCAATAAAAGTAGAATAATTCATCTATTTTTTTCAAGCAAGCTCTTTTTATTGTTAATTATATTTTTTCCGCATCAGCCAATACAAGCATAGTAGATCTAAGTTACGGTCTGGATTGTTACGATAAAGCGAAGCTTAAATCCAACTCTCAAACAAGGACAACAAGTATTGTCAAGATATGCCCGTTCAAGCTGATAGCATTTACAATGTGAAATGCATTTTCAGCACCCTAACACAACCGAATTGATCTCTAAATGCGAAGCTTCATATTCCTTGGAGACTATACTGATAAATTGAAAAGAATAAGGACAAATTAGTATTATTCATTGAGAATGCATGTTCGCACAAGAGCTTCACAGACGGAGTACGGGTCACAATTGCTGCTGGGTCTTCTGTCTTCGAGATAACCCTTCTTATCCTCAGCAACGTTTCGAGGAATGCGAATGCTAACGTTTCTATTAGCAACACTCGCGCTGAAGTCGTTGATAGAGCTGGTTTCACATAGGCCGGTCAATCTACGTTCGTTGTCCTTTCCACCATGAGGATCGTAAGCTTGGATATGTTTGGCATGCTTCAAGCTGAGTCTCTCGATAGCAAGTTCGATTTCAGCGATCCCATTCTCCTGGCGCATGGGCTTGGTCGAAAAATTCGTGTGAGCTCCTGCTCCGTTCCAGGGCCCGTTAACGGGCTTCGGGTCAAGGGTCACGACTACTCCGTACTCTTCGGCTATTCTATGCAGCAGGAATCTAGCCATCCAGAGGTCGTCTCCGGCTGCGATTCCCGTGCAAGGGCCGACCTGGAATTCCCACTGGGACGGCATGACCTCTGCATTCGTTCCAGCGATCTTGACCCCGGCATAAAGGCATGCCCTGTAATGTGACTCCACGATTTCGCGGGCGGTCACCTTATCGGCACCTACTCCGCAATAATAAGGACCCTGGGGTCCTGGAAATCCGTTTTTAGGCCAGCCAAAAGGCCTACCGTCCATGTCCAGGAGGGTGTACTCTTGCTCGATCCCGAACCAAGGCTCCAAGTCTTTTACAGCTTCCATGGCTTCATTGGCCAGACATCGCTTGTTGGTTTTGGTCGGTCTTTTATTCGGCAAATAGGTTTCACATAGCAACAACTTGTTATTGCCCCTCTGAAAGGGATCGTCATACAGAGCAGCAGGGTACAAATAAATATCGCTGTCAGCCCCATCGGCCTGGTACGTGGAGCTACCATCGTACGTCCACGTTGGGCAATCTGCAAAGACGGGAGACATAGTTAATTGTAACTTCGTACGTCCACATTGGGCAACCCGAAAAAAAAAAGGGGGAAATAGTTCATTGCAACTTCGTTTGCGTAATTCCTCGCTAGCAGGCCTATTACACATACGGACCACATCAATTTGGATTTATATGTTAGTCCACGCTTTTGAACGCTCGGAAAGCAATAATCGGCGTAATAGCTGCAGTAAAAAGGGGAGCACTCAAATTAAGTATTACACGTGCGTGCAAGATGTTGAAGAATGCCGCAGTAAATAATTTGTCCTGCCTAATAGTAATACAAGAGTAGCGTACACTATTTCGAGATCAAATTATTCCTTAAAGTTAATGTATGAAAATGTGGTCTAACAATAAATCACAAGGACGACTCGTTAATCTTCTGAAACCGCTGATGGATGTTCGGTTACGTCATCTGCTTACGTAAACTAGTTGTTAAAATTCAAAACCATCTTTTTATTGCTAATGGCAACGGCGGAATTAAATTTTTCTTTTAATTTACCGACCTTTAGGGTCCTTTGGGATGAAATCGAGGGTTCGGGTTTTACTGCGCAAGGCTTCTCCGGTACCATCTATCCAGATGTATCGTACCAAAACTTTGTCATCTGGCTGAGGCAAGTCAAGATATCGGTTCACTATGGTTTTATCCAGGACTGCGTTGGGAGAATCTTGAAGCACCGACATGACGACGCTAGAAATATAAAGACGAAGCGTGTAAAAAGAGCTCGATTAAGAAGAGTATTCGATTGTCCACGAATAAAACATATTCACATATCAATACACGATATTTACAAGGTATGTTGCGCTGCGCATTGGAGCTCCTACATGCACGGAGCAACGCGAAGACGCAACAATAGAGATTAATTGGAGCATCAGAGATTGTCGTAACCAATACAAATTTAAATGCAAAATTATTTAAACAGGGTTCCCGCGCATTTCCTTTTTTGACAGAGAAAATTTTCATTCTTTTTCTTTAATTCTAATTCTCTCTAAATGATTGTACTTACTCTAGATGAAAATCGCGGTTTGGCTTTGTATCTGGACGGTGCCTAAACCTGTTACCGGTTTGACTTTGAAACAGGGACTAACTTAGTTGTGATAAATCTTCCTGCTTTATAGGTTCTCGTATTCGCTCATTATTGCAGTACTTACCTCTCGTCGAATGGGAGGGGAGACCACCTATTCGCTTCTGCATGTGGCGTCTATTGGACTTCATTTCATCGCATGCTGTCTGATAAAAAAAAAAGAAAAAAAAAAGAAACAATATAAAAAATATACAAAACTAACGATTTAAATATTCAATTTAAAATCGCTTCGCGTAACGTTTGTAGAAATGAGCTATCTATTAAATTTATGTTGTTTTATGTAATTGTTATAATAGATCATCTTCTATTTTATTAATGAGATAAGTTTAAACGCATTTCTATCTGCTGTCCCTGAAGCATAATTGTGAACTATTACAATGGGCAGTTACGTAAAATGAACTACAATTTTTCTGTTATCCGAATAATTTTCTGAATTAGGGTTGTCACGACATTAGTTATATATATGATCTTCGGGAAAAATTACGACGTGCGTTACGCCTTACATAAGCGAAGACGCAAAGTCTGCTCCAAGACACGTTACTCGAGATCTGCTCTTGTTAAAAGATGACTAACAATAATGTACCTTTGATAATTGTACGAACGGCTCCTAGGATCGACAAATTATCATTTAATGTCGGCTCTTAGTCTTTCGAACTTGTAATACGTACCTTTTAACCGTAACAAGTTATAATGTACCGATCAACCGATATTTTCCGTCTCTTGTGACGCAGGTCGGTTAAGGATATAATCATTGGCCACAGCGGTGACCTGAATCGTTAACATTGAAGTGTGATCGACGGGATGTCCGGTATTCATTATCCTATCTCCCTCTGTGTAATGTCAGTTACATCACCCTAACTGAAATTAATATAATAGAGTACTGTACAGGGTAGCATACGGGGAGTGTGTGGGAATGTTTTAAAAATGTTTAGTAGGTTTAATACCGATCTTAAATGATGTAGACTTATATGCATATGAAATTGCATAATTTAATTCTACATGTTCAGTCGTCCCATGTGACATTTTCAAAATACATCGCGAATGTAACTACGACGTATAGGATTGGATACCGTTCTCTTCTTACAGCCAGGACGCATCATGAACAACCGCTGCTCAAAATGTTTAGTAACGAATGTACGAAATTATTTTATTCTCTTGTGTAACATCACCCCCATGATCCCAAAATATACAGATTTCATAATTCCTAAAAAAATATAAAAAGAATAACAAGCATATAAAATAGTTTCATGGTACAGATTAAAATCCGACCCGTCCGTTAGTAAAGAAGGGATTACACATTACGCATGTATTTACATATCACTTCAATGTTAATGGTCCTTCGAAATCTTTTCCTTGCACAATTTCGGTTAGATTCTCTCCCGCATAAGATATCAACGGAGACACCTCAACGTCTCCTTTGACCGACGCAGCTCCTGAATTTAATAACCAGGTCCGATGAAGATTTAACAAATCTTTTCTGGCAGTAGATGGGCAATCGTTTCCAACAGAGTCGGAATTCTTTACTGGACTAAATTCATACTCGCGCTTTACTTCTAAAGCTGCGAAGTAGGTAGAAAATTTGAACACGTCGAATATAAATTTCTCGATTTTTATACCATTTGGAATTGTTGACGTGCATTTTACGCCATTGTCGTCTACATATGGAATTTTCTTTTTGGCAGCATGCAACTCCATATTCGTCTCACAATTATGTCCAATTTCATATAAAAAATCTACAGTAAAATAATGATTGCAAATGTTGGCGGCGTTAAAAAGTAATTGACCATCGTTGTTACGAAGCTGGGCAATTTCCAGAGGAATTTCACTGTATTCGACCACATGGTACTCTCCGTCAACCTGCAAATTTTATACCATCCGTTCGATTTCTAATTCTTTGTAGAACTTAAAAATATAACATTAAAATATTTGTTAATCACATTGCTATTAGTTGAAAGAACCATGATATAAGTAGCATACATTTAAGGAAATCAAGTATTACCTGGCAAACGATGCCCACTGCTTCAGTGGGAGATGATTTTCCTAATACTTTGACTCCACAATCTGCCGATCTAGACAGACAGTACCCTATGAAGACAGGATCTGCTACTTTGATTAAAATATTGTCAACCGAATGTACATGTACACTCCGAATTCCGCGTATCTTCATGTCATCCAATATTCCTTGAACTTTAAGTGCCCGATACAGTCCACCATTACCGTCAGGGGCTTTAGATATCTGGTATTTCTTATCTAAAATGATTTTTCCATCAAGAGTGAAGCAAGGAAGCATGCCTTGCTTGAACATTTTCACATTTTCTTCATCGAGGCCAAAATAGTTGTTTGCTTGAAAGTACTCAATTGTAGGCTGATCGGTTGCCTCGCTTGTGAGTATATACCTGAAATTAAATATGTTCTATATATAAAGGCAAGTTTCGATATACAGATATGCTTATTTCACATGATTCTATTGAAACCAAGAGCCTCACCACATTATCTTGCTACGTATTCCAAACTTTTTCTCAACTATATTTTGTAAAGATCGTATACGTTCTGCTTGTAAGCAAAATAACGTCTTGGAGGAAGGTAAACCAACATCGCACATTCCTTTGGGATTTGTCATACCTAAACGAGTACCCTGACCACCAGCCATTAAAATGACAGCCACACGCCCCTCAGAAATTTCCTTTAATCCTAATTCCTCGTAGTGTTGCACCTTTTCAGGACTAATGTCCCGATACGAGGATATCGCTTCGGATGGAATCGGACTAATCCTCTCTTTTAACAACTGTTTGTTACCTAATCCTTCCATAGCTTTGGAAAAATATAATTTGGTCTCTGCGAGATCAAGTTCCAGAATATCTTGTCTGAGCTGACATCTATCGCTCTCTGAAAGTTCATCCCAAAAGCGAAGCAGATGTTCCTGGTTGTATTTAGAAAGTATGTCAATTAGTTGTACTTTATCCATGATTCTACCAACGGCGTGTAATTCTTCTGTTAACTGTTCCTTTTTTCTCCCTTTCACATGAAATGTCAGTGTTGGCTTCTACGTTGCTTTGTCTTTTTCCTCCTCGATAGACTTTTGACACTTCTCCGCTTGGCCCAATTTGACAGTTGCTGACAGCTCCGTTCCCGGAAGTTTCGGCATCACCACTTGCAACGTGTTCGAACTCATGTCGAGTTTCCATTGCGCGCGCGGAGCAAAACGTCATATTTCGCGCCGAAAGTAAATCCCCCGTTGTCTGACCAATCAGAAAGCACCCATCATCGGCGATCCAAGGGAAAGTGACAAGAAATGCTGCTCTCCTATTGGCTACTGCAAGTGGAACCAGCAGATCTTTCGAACTGCATCCACTGCAATCAGGCATCTAACCCAAATTTAAATTATATTTTATAGATAAATAAAACAGTCAAAGAAAAAACATATACTCGCTAAACTCTCACCAGTTTACGTTCCAAGCTGAGTAGCCATTTTAAATAGGACTGCGCCTTAAAGTTCTTCTTCCAACTGGTTCTTGAAAAATGTGGTACACCTGATCTCCCTTTTATCGTGATTATTCTTCTCGATCGTTCAAAGTCATTGGTTGATTCTTTTAAGCCGGTGACGTCAATGGTTATGATCTGCACGTGCTGACCATGAACGAAGAAGAAGAGTGGGGAGGCGACGGGCGCCTGAATGTTACGAAGGTGGCAATTCAGAGTGAGACAGTACATCGAGTCGAAGCATTCGTGGAAGCGAGAGAGAAATATCTAGTGGGCAGTGCAAGGATTTGAAAGAACCTGTTGTCATGTTTTCACCGCACATCTCCGGGGCATGTAGGTGCACGATTAAGCGAGCCGCTCACTTTTTCAGCCGTCCCGTTTCCGCTGGCCCCGACGACTGGATCTTCTCCTCCCTGACAGTTGGTTCGCAGAAGCAGAGATTTCTTTCTCCGTCGTTCGTTAGATCCTACGTCGCACCGGTCAGCACGATGGCTAAGATAAAGGTATGTAGATAAGCGCCTAAGGGTTTATGGCTACTTTTCATTTTTGGAAAATATTGGATACAGTACATGACTACAGAATCAAAGCTTCATAAATATTTGCTGAGTCAAGCTCGACAGTTAATTCTCAATGATGTTCCTACAAAACTTTGTAATACATGTATTTGTTCATAGATTTTATATTGAACGTGAACGTTTTAAAAATTAACTCTATATATACAAGAATGGAAATATTTTGGTTTACCTGTAATAAATGTCCCCAATTATATAGAATTTAGTTACACGGCAATTATAACTAACTAGATCGTTTTGATAAAACAATAGAATTCGGTTAGAGATATAATAGGAAACTGAGCGTTGGAACCGTCTGATTATTCTTGGTGCAAAGGTCGAAGAGCACAAATTGTACTGACAAACACATTAAATGGCATTGAATGTGCATTAGTAGTATGGAAGTGATAAAGTTATTTTATCATTTAGGATTGCATAAGAGATTTATATGAGCAAGTGGCCTTAACTTTTTTTACAGATAGTATATACTTAGAAGTAATAACTTTAATATTGGGGAATAGTAATTGACCTTTTTTTTTTACCGTTATCAATTCATCACTGGTTATCAAATTGTATTATCAGCCATGGTTAACCACTTCTTCCATTAGGCAGTGCCTTATCTATGAAGCTTATCAAGAGCTGGTATTTTATGTCCCTGGAGATTTATTTTTCTAAAAAATAGAAAAATATTTACTTTCATAATGGTTCAAATTTATGAGGCAATATCACGGTATTATTATGCCTTATTCGTTTCTTCTATTGCCATCAAGTTTTACTTTGATTTTACAATTACAGTGATGTTTAAGTTTCGTCATATCAGCTTTGCTTATTACAAAAGTGATGAGATATCTAATACCGTCTAAGGATGTTTGATAAAATCATTCTAATCATTATAAAATGATCAACTGTATTTTTACAGGCAGGACCCGTTGTGGATATTCTTGGTGATGAGATGACCCGGATTATTTGGGAGTCGATTAAGGATAAACTTATTCTCCCATACTTAGATATAGAATTACATACTTATGATCTAGGAATTGAAAATAGAGATAAAACTGAAGACAAAGTTACAGTTGATTGTGCGGAAGCAATTAAGCGCTATAATGTTGGCATTAAGTGTGCAACAATTACTCCAGATGAGAAAAGAGTAGAAGAGTTTAATTTAAAGAAAATGTGGAAAAGTCCAAATGGAACCATTAGAAATATATTAGGTGGTACAGTTTTCCGTGAGGCGATCATTTGTAAAAACATTCCTAGGCTGGTAAACAATTGGAATCAACCAATTATTATTGGAAGACATGCACATGGCGATCAATATAAAGCTACCGATTTTGTAGTCCCAGGTCCTGGTACATTAGAGATCACTTGGAAAGGAACTTCTGGCGAAGTTATTAAACATATTGTAAATGAATTTAAAGGACCAGGTGTTGCCCAAGCTCAGTTTAATACGGATGAGAGTATCGAAGCCTTTGCTCATAGCTCGTTCAAATATGCATTATCTAGAAATTACCCTCTATATCTATCAACCAAGAATACTATACTCAAGAAATATGATGGAAGATTTAAGGACATCTTCCAAACCATTTATGAAGCAGAGTATAGAAGTAAATTTGAAGAGAAGAAGTTGTGGTATGAGCACCGTTTGATTGATGACATGGTTGCTTACGCCATGAAATCAGAAGGTGGTTTTGTGTGGGCTTGTAAAAATTATGATGGCGATGTCCAGTCGGATTCGGTTGCACAAGGCTATGGTTCTCTCGGTTTGATGACATCTGTGCTGCTTTGTCCGGATGGTCGTACTGTCGAAGCCGAAGCTGCCCATGGTACTGTAACTCGCCATTATCGAATGCATCAACAAGGAAAGGAAACCTCAACAAATCCCATTGCCTCAATATTTGCATGGACCAAAGGTCTACTTCATCGTGCTAAATTGGATAATAACGTTGATTTAAAGAAATTTGCCGAGACTCTAGAAACGGTGTGTGTATCCACAATCGAGTCTGGTTCTATGACAAAAGATCTTGCCATTTGCATTAAAGGAATGAACAAAGTTACTCGGTCAGACTATCTTGAGACTTTTGAGTTCATGGACAAATTGGCTGATAATCTAAAAAAACAACTTACGGCATGACTTACTAAAGAAACAAATTCATTTATAATGACATTTTCGAAGTACTAGAAATAGTATTTCTCTCTATTAGAGGAACTATATATTAAATATTACCGAAAATCATTCGCATTTATTTTAAAGAATGCATGCAACAACTCATGCCAGTAATCTGGGAAAAGACCCTAATATGAGCTCGAATTGTCAAACGTATAGAAACGTCTGCAATTAAAAATCAATTTTACATCTATTTTCGAATATCATTCTCTTTGTTTAAGTGAATGCAAATTTCTTAGCACGCATTCGTAGATATTGCCTAAAACTAAATAACGAACAAATTAAATATTGTTACTATTTGTTTGTAGGTTTAAAAAAAAACTTTTATACAGTACTCATTCCTATTGATTTATAGTGACTTTCGTATAGAAATTCTTATATTTAATATGTACTGATTGGTAATGGCATTTTATACTTACAATTGTGTCTTGTAAAATATATTATTTTTGTAGAATAAGCTAAATGCGATACAGTAACTGGTGTTATACATTATAAGGCTGTGGAAAGTAGCAATATTCTTTTACAATAAATGTTTTCAATGAATGCAATTATATTTGTTTTCCCAGTACTTCCATTGTTTCGTAGTGGCAGTATTTTTCTGAATATGTGAAAAACTTAAATCATAATTTTATAGTGCTTGCTTGATGTACAAAAAGAAATGTTCAAAGCTTTTCTGCAATTTATTTAACTAATCATACGCCTGTCTTCAAAGTTATTACGCAACGTTGCTGCAGATTTAAAATCTGCTTGCATGCATTGCTAGCATTGATTACGTGCCATAATTAAACGATAATATTAATCTAACATTGTGAAACAATAATTTTGTTTTTAACGGTTCTTTTTAGCATAAGGTATACACAACACATCGCAATTGTTACTACCTATTAATAAATACATACTGGGTCAATTCATAGCAAGATCACATAAAGTACCCAAAACCAAAACTCCTTTTTATAGCATCCCAGTAATATCTTTCCCAATTCTCCCTGGTTACTTTTTCCTCACTGAAAATAGCAAATGGCAGTGATTCGGTTAAAAATATCTAACCTAAAATCTTAAATACATGAATAATACGCCTTAATTACCTGGTTGGAACACCGATCTGTGTGAGTTTAACTTCCGTATGATCACTCTTTTCGTTTACTTCAAGAGTCACTTCGCTATAATGTTCAGCAGGCCATTGTTTACACCGCCATTTCTGCACAATTTTAGTAGGAGTTATATCTACAAATTCACCATGGATGTTTCCTCCGAAAAGCTCGAACTTTCCATGTTTCTTTGGATCAAGTTTTACTGAACTCTTCGTAAAGACTTCCACCATCTATGAACAATATTTAAAAATATGATGAACTATGCATATCAAAATAATGGAGATTTAAAGTGTGATTATATTACCTGAGGATTTAGATAAGCATTGCAAAAATCTGCTGCTCTACATTGAAATTGCTGCTGCTGCGTTAGTGTTGTAGTAGCAACTTTATTTTTTGTTGAACTATCTTTTGATGATGGCAATATAACAGAATCCATTTTCATCTAGAAATTAAATTTATAATTCGATTACTAGTTTGTTGAATTAATCACATTTGTTTAAAATGATATATTAATTACCTTAACGTCAAATCCTGATGTTATATTTGATATATTTTCGGCAACACTGTCTTTCTTTGGAAGAATCATTCCTTTTGTGAACTCTGGAAATATAGTGAAACCATTGTGCATAATTCACTATTATTTATGCTTGCATTGTACTAAATACATAGTTTAATCGTTATATTAAATACTAATATTATTAACACATTACCATCTTTTAAAGAGCTGACATATTCTTTTAATTTTTCTCTAATAAGTTTCTTTCCTACAGTATGCAAAAAATGTTTTACTTTTTCTCCTAAATCCGTACTGTCCTTCAAAGTAATTTCAACCTACAAAAGCATTAGTTATTGTCAAAATATTCATATTAACTTTTCGAATGATAAACCGCAATAGAATGAAACTACTGAAAATGAAAGTATTGGAAAAAAATGTCTAGATATTTGGAATTATAGGCATGCAATTCATACATCTACTTCTGCGATGTCATTTTCTTCCGACAAGTTTGGAATGTTGATCTTTCCTTCAATACTGCTATCGGAATCTCCGTCATAGATCCATTTAAGTACAATATTCCATTCATAAAAAACTATGAGTTTCCCTTTTCTATTATTTGCTATTGCTTCACCTTCTTGCTTTTCTATTTCTTTTACAATGCACTTAACTGTAAGAAAATTATAAATAATAATATTACAATACAGTAATGGGATTTTATTAATTAACATAAATTTCATTGAGAAATAAATGAAACAACTTACTCCCATCTCCTTCGATGACTAAATTCGTAAATAAATCCTTTATCTTATCCTGCGACCAGGAACAGGCATTTTTCTCAGTCCTAATAAGCAATAAAACTTAGCTTAAATATTTAACATTGTAGTATAAAAAGTTGAGTAACTTCCTTTGATACTCCAGGTTTCATATATTTTAATAATGAGCATATAAAAGACCACCACTATTTACTTATTATAAAAATAAATAAGCAAAATATTTCTTATGTTTAAAAATACCTTTAATGAATGAAAACAGATTAAAGACATTTTTATTGCCTTATTCTACCATAAACAGAAAAAAGAGAAACAGTTTGAATTGTTCTGTATCTTTCTGCAGAATTCTAGAACTTTCCGTAAGTTAGGCTTCTAGAATTTCTTTCTCATACTTAATGTAGGAAATTGATTACATAATGGTGACTCAAAATTAAAATAAAATCTTATTTAATGGTTAAAAACAAAGTATTACAATACCAATGCCAATTGTTGACATTTGTCGCATCTGGCCTTTCTTCCACAATCCATCGAGGATCTCCTTCACCCCACTTCGCCATTCTTAAGATGTCAACCGCAAAGTCGAATTACTGAGACAATGCAAATTTCCCAAATTCCTACAAAAAACAAATCAGTCCATTTCAAATAACAAAGTATAGAAAAAAAATTATACATAAATACAATTTATAACCTGGACATTGTTGAGCCGAAGCATGATGTGGAAAAACGGATATATAACATTACCTTCTATTGAATGATGGAAAAATTCGAAACACTCGATTTAAGTTCTCCAAATAAGGTTTTGATATTCGGAAATTATTTTACAAAATTCAAAATTGGAAATTCGGGAGTGAATCGCTTACTGTGACCGGTACGTATGTTTGTACGTGCTTACAGCTGCTTACAGCTCACGGGATGTTCGTGAACTGTCGCAGGTTATGAAGTAAAGAGGGGACGAGCGTAGCCACGGATTTTAATTCTTGGTCTATCACAGGTGTCGCCATCTCATAATGTAAAAGCTAAACTACGATGTACTCTGTATTATACGCAGAAATTTAGTTGGTCATCTTTTGCCGATTTTACCGACAGAAACGAAGAAATTACAAGTTTCATTGAGTGGCGCGGAAGTCAAAGGACACACCTTGACCTGAGTTCAACATCTCATTAAAATGAGAATAATGTATAATGATTAAAGAGGGGCGAAGGAGCAAGGAATAAGACGGGTAACACGTGTGACACGTCACGTATGATAAAGAACATTAAAATCTGAAAATAAAATTTTTCTATACATCTATAGCAGTGGCTGAATTAGTTATTATTTTCATTTTTGCTTCTCATTAACTTTTTGAAAGCTGTAAAACATTTACAGTATATTATACGTTCCCATGGCATATTTTATAGTTCTAAAAATCTGCACTTTCACTTATACCATTTCGACACATGCTTTCGTTGGTTTAAAATTGATATTCACCATATGTAACTCCATAATAATTATCTAAGGGGAATATGTATTAGTGAATCAATATTGAATTTTAAGGACTGTTTTCTAAAGTTTAATTATGTTTTATGAATGTTTACCTGAACTTACAATTTCTATTACAAAATTAATGTCTTTTTCTCCGGTGTTAATTACAAAATGTATAAATTACTTAAAATAAAAAGCTTACAGAAACCTTGCCTTAACAATATAATTTTGGAAGGTTAAAAGCATCACCTTAATCTCCATTGTTTTCAGAGAGGAATAGTGATGTAATTTAAAGCGTACATGCTACATTGACACTGACATTAAGAAGAATAACAAAATAAACGGCACTGTATTCATGGCATCCGTCGATGCGTTAAACCTTCTACATATCCATTAAATGATTACATTCAAAAATTGTAAACATCAATTCAAAGAAATAGAATTTTGCACTTTAACATTCATATCTTGGAACGAGGTTGTATTAAAAATCTTAGAAGCTAGGTAATACAGTTTTTACATGTCTAGAATAAAAAATCATCATTGGAAATACAAGCTTACAAAGTGAACACTTTCCATACTCTATTAAATTAGACGTATATATTAATAACTTATGCAATATGTATTAATTAACATATTCGACATATAGCAGAAGTTCTATGACTTTAACAGAGCCCAGAAATGGTCATCTAAGATACATTGATTGCGCAAGGAAGTCTTTCTGCTTTACATTTCATATTGTTAATAACTATTCAGAAATAGATCTGTTAATGGTAATGTGAAAATTATTTGACAATGAAGGCAATTTGTGAGTACAGACATTGGAAACGAAAATTAAAATTATTCAAACATCTGTGAAGTTAAGAATGGCAAATATATTTCCATGGATGCAATGGCTTATAAGGCTTGAATTTCTTTTTAATATGATTTCAGTATTTATGTATTATGTCATGTAAATATAAAAGAATATTTTCAGTGTGATATATAGCATATTCATATTTTTCCTTAGATTTCATACATGTATGATGTAATGCTTTTTCTATGTAACTCCAAAAAGTCTAACAGTACCATTTTTTAACCATTTTTATGACGCGTCACCGTGACATCCAAATTTTCTGCAATTTCAAAGCAAAAATTCCCTTTTTATCGCCATTTGGCCAGATATAATTTAACGTTTCTCAAATAATAAATTATTTTTATAACAAAGCTTTCCGACGAGCATATCATATATGGGCCAATACTGAGAGTAATTTTGATACTACTGGTTGTTTGAGACGAACACCCCTGTACACGTCGCAATTTCATATATATATATATATTTATTGAAGTACCTTCAGGTGTGTTGTCCTAATGTTACAGTAACCTGTATCACGGCAAAGTTTTTTTGAGATTTGTATTTTTCCGCACAAACGATGAAACTGATGAAATTTGGTCACTTAAGTTTCTTTTCAGTTTTTACAGAGCGTCAACATGGGTGCATTAGTATGCAATCATGATACAGGTATTTACTCTTGGTGCGTGCGACCAAAGATAATTAACTATTTAATCATAATTTATGATTGCTAGTAAGCCACGTAAGGCCTTCGTACAGTCCATCTCCTGTTGTGGCACAAGATGGCTGGACATACCAGTTTCTGTCCCGGATTCTTGTCAAACCCAATTTCTCTTGAATTTCGTGTGGCTTCATTGCTGAAAATATATATTCTATAATATATTCTGTTTAAACCTGGTGAAGTAGTTTAAATATTGTACAAAAAGGTATAATTGAAAATTGCAATTTATCCATTGTGACTTTAGTCTTGTTTTTGTTATATAGGCTTTGAACCGGACATGATTTGCCCTTTCTAAGATATCACCATTACGTATTACTCCAGATTACATGTTGGTAAATACTATTTACCATCTGGAAGATCTTGTTTATTGGCGAAAATAAGAATTATGGCATCCCTCATTTCTCGATCATTTATAATTCGATGTAACTCCTGACGGGCTTCATCGATTCGATCTCTATCGGCACAGTCCACTACAAAAATCAGTCCTTGTGTTCCAGTGTAATAGTGCCGCCACAGTGGCCTTATTTTATCTTGACCACCAACATCCTGTGAAAACAAGTTATAAAGAAACTGATTTATTTATTAAATTCATGCAACACTTTTGTTTTCATATAAAATATATTACATATTTTCGTATTTTATAAAAAAATATTATATTAAATACATTAGGCATAACAAGTATTTCACTCACCCACACATTAAATTTGACATTCTTATAGGTCACTGTCTCTACATTGAATCCTACAGTAGGTATGGTAGTTACGCTCTGTCCCAACTTGAGTTTATACAGTATAGCTGACATGAACTATTAAGGAAAATAAGTATATTCGTGTAACAAACCAGCTGCACATTTTAACGTCAAGTATTGTGGTAATGAAAACGGCTAAAAGTGCAAAATTTGCAACCGTATGTTACTTAGTTCAATGACTCAGACCACCTGTTCGTGCTTCAAAAAAGATGAAGCAATAGATTTAAAAATAACAGTTAAGTTCCAAAAGAAGTTTTTTAAAGGATACTAGTTTTTCCAGCAGCATCTAACCCCAACATTAAAATACGCATTTCCTTATTGCCAAAAATTTTTGACAAGATCTTGCCCATTTTTCTGACACTCGCGCTACGTATCCGGAACCTGTAAAAATATTTCATGTTAACTACCTAACCTATAGTTCTTTAATACGATTTTGATCCTCACTTAACATTTTTAAGAGGATTATCAATTTTATTTCATAATTTATTTTTCCACTTGATCGGGAGTAGGTTTTGCTTGGGTTTATATTTTAGTAACAAAATTATATAAAAAATTCTGTGAACGATAGATTTACAATATGAAAGTATCAGTTGCAATATATGCAGCAAGTGTACTTGTCACACCCAGTCAAGTGATGAAGTCAGTAGCACACATTAAAACATACGTTTGTATAAGAGTGTTTTATGAAGCTCGTACGAACCCAAATTTAGCATTAAATTTTCCTTTATAAAAATGCAGCAACAATTAATCGAGCATACCTGTGATGTCAGTCCGGTACAACAGCGTCTTGTACTCGTTTACACGCATCCGGAAATTCGATGCAAGTCAGAGGCAAGAGCAACATAAAAAGGTTATGCCCACAAGTATTCGAGCACTGACAATAATCACGTAACAGCCGGATATCGGATAACTACGAATCAACAATTTTCACACACTGTGTACATTAATCTGTAAGCATACAACCACACGTTTATCTCGACAATATTCATACATCTTCCGAAATTAATAACCGACCGCAAGTTCGAATACTTCCTAATGTGACAGATGATAAGTGACCCTCTGATTTGACGGAATTTTCGTCAGAGACAACTCATTCAAGGATAATTAATAATAGAAATTTTCGATCTTACGATGGTTTGTTTGAATTCGAAGGGTGAGTGAGAACCCATGCGTGAGACAGGTTGCATCGGAGCTCGGAATTGATAGTTTAAATTCGAGGTTAACTAACCATAGATACCGAATAGTTAACGACTTCTTAAGAGAAGTTTTAACTTGGCTAGGATTTTAAGTCGAACCAGCTCATCTTTCGAATGTTTCACCTTTCGTGAATGGTTGAAGTTAAACTATTCACGGAGCTACGTCTCCCGAGCATTAGTTATCAGATTACAATTCACGTTTCGATAATTGTGCCCATGAATGAATGATAACACCTTCAATGTGTTGCCCTTCAACTAGTTTTTCTCCTACCAGGGGACGCCACTTACAGCGCATTCGACCACGAAATATCATAACCGAGAGAAACGCCTCGCCACTTGGACGATATGCAGTGCAATACTGAGAAATTCACCACGTAAAAGCAGAGATGAGTTGGGAGATTGCTCACGAGCAGGGTCGCTTGATCGCGTTCTGTGCTATCCCCTGGTGGTTGGTATGGATGGCTAACGTACTTACCACCTGTTACCCCTCAGTGGCGGCGCAACTTATCTCAGCCAGAAACTCTGATATATCGTGACCCCTGGCCGCGATCCATCTGCCGGATTGGGCGAGGCCGAGTCCAATTCAAGAGCTGAGGCCGGGCCCAATTCGGGACCCGAGTCCGGTCAGCGGTCGTTGGCGGTCGTGGTCCGGGCCGACGGACTGGCCCCTGGTTGCCCCGGATAACACGCCGTGATAAGAGGTCGCAATCGCCGCAGAGCTTGCTGGACTTGTTGCTAAAAGTTGTTAAAAGATGTTAAAGGATGTTTGTTCTCTCAGAGATGAGATGAGAGATTGCTCACAGGCAAGGTCATGCAATCGCGCACTTGTCAATCATCTCATTTTGTTTAAATGAGGGAGGACAGAACATTTTTGGTGGTGTAATCGTAGTTATAAAGGTATAGAAAGCGTAATATAAAATACATTGAAATTCATAACATTTAATATTCAGAGCAGTTAGTGTTTGTAAAATAATTCTTATTCGTTAATAATAACGAATTAAAAATCACATTTTTATTGTCAACTGATTGCGGAAGAGTGCTGAGGTATGATACAATGGGGAGGATAATTTGAGCTTATTGTTTCCAAAGATTATTCATTATAACGACGATCCGGGTTCGATTAAGGGGACTTGCACCCATGAGATTCCTGCATACGGACGTAACTTGCACACTCTCAAGGATCATTTTGAATATGTTTATTAACTTGTCATAAGTCATGTGAAGTTTAATAGGAGTGTAATGATAAACAAATCTAATGTTAGCACGTAACGATGTACTCCGCCACAAAATTTGATCTCCATTTCTTCAGGGTGGTAATTTATACACTTTGGTGGCCTCCGGCGATACAGATGTTCCGTTCGAGTAGTGCATGCCCCTGATTGAATATCAACTTGTACAGGTTCGATAGTAAGCCTCTTGCTTCCACAAGGACATAATGTGTCTACTACCAGTAGAATTAAGTTAGTATGCTGAATCTTCTGCACACTAAAGGGTCTATAAAAGCGGGAGAAAAAGTACATTAGTATTAATGTGCATATGGCTATCGGAACATCCTGAAATGAATTCTGCATTTCCTTAAAGTGTTTTAGGCAGTTTGATATTTACCAAACTTCTCATATCTTTCACAATTTATCATTAATCAAATAACGACTATATTTATAATAAAGAAAATGAATGGTGCATTTACCTTTCACAGCCAGTTACATGGCAATTAGTAAGTTTCCCTTTGAGTGGATTACTTTGACCGCTGGTATTAAGTCGCTCTGGCTGTAAAATGTAAAGATCTGTTTTCTTCTCGCATGAACTTAATCTGTATGGATAATTGTGCGTTCCCGATGAGTTTCCTGCTGGGTTGAATGGCGAAGTTAAAATTGCATCAGGGGTCGTAGCAAATTCTTCATTATTTAGGAACGGTCGATCGGTTGAATCGGTTGCTCGTGGTCCGAAATGTTGCATCCGGTCATCATCGGTATATATGTGATTATCTAGAAAAAATATTAATTTTACAGATACATTTTTCATGATTGTGTAGAATGTGTAGGATATCTGTTTTTCTGTGAGTAATTTGATACAAGGAATCGCGAAGAATTTACCATTACTTTGTATTTCTTCTGACAACCCCCAAGTTGGTAACCATATGCCATGGAAACACCATCGGAATGTCATGTCTAAAAGAAAACTTCCAAATATTGAAATCATATTGGCGATCGACTGAGAAATCGTCGTAGTAGCTGAGGAAATGTGAGATTCCTGTGGATAGCACGAACCCTGATAGTCCGTTACTGCCACTTTCCTGAAACAAGAATATATTTTCACCATAAGTAACATTTGTTTGAAAAAGAAAAAAAAAAGGTGAAAACCCAAGATCTCCAAAAAAATCACTATGATAGACGACTGATTCAATTATAATTGCGGAGTGAAATAATTATCCCTACCTGTATATCCGGTCTTGTACGAGGGAGTCCATGATAGTGCCGTCTATTTCTCCGAAAAATTTCCCTGTGTGTTCATTTTGCTCACTGATTATAATAAAGCCATTATTGTCCAAAATGTAACAGTCCAGTTCTTCCGATGCACAGTTCTTCTTGCAACCTGATTTCCCGGAGCACTAATAAATACGAAAACAGTAGATTAAAAACCCGATTGTCACAGTTTGCTTAATCTGTATATCATATTATGCTCACATACTACAATTTCCAAATTGTACAATTTTTTAACTTTACACACGTTAGGAATGATATGTGATATACTAGGTCTACTAAATTTTTTCAATCTTCCGATATCGTTATAATTATGTCATGTATTATCTTACGGTCGATGTAACGTTCAGAAAATGAGATGCCAATGAGGAGTGTCGAAATTGCAATCCTACAACCGCAGCTGGTGCCTGATGTCCTTTGCTTTCTACGAAAACGGCGTGCGTAGCGGTAACCAGCGGTGAAGTACTCTCAGCTTGTAAAATAACGAGAATTATTTATCAACAATAGAACAAACTTAATAAAGTAGTGGTAATACGGTATTTGAATACCGCCTTCCACCGGGGAAAAATAAGATCGACAAGATATAGCTGTACCTCGATGTAATGTGAACTGTGTTCTGTTGTAAGAGTTATACTATGTGCGTATAAGAGCTGAATAAACTTGTAACTGTAATAAGTGTCCCTTGTGGGAAGTGCCCTGAAAAGTTCTCGTTTAAAAGATATAACACGGAAAAGTGATGGCAGATTAAAATATAAGAAAATGTGCGAATGTGATAAAATATACCGATGTATATTCTTATAAAGGGTCCGATTACATTTTTTTTGGATTCATATGTATTACGTGTATTTAAAAAAACCGAGGATGATTAATGGAGGAAATTAATGATTTGCTTACCGGCATTAAATGGAACACTGAATACGAAACTCTCAGGTTCGACGTCGTGTTGGTCAACAGCTCTTCTATACCACGATGCTTCCATGGCTCTTGTATATACATTCGCGAAATGCCTGGCACAGTAAAGGATATGGTGTTTAAAATTTAGAATAAGTACCATGCAATTAAAAGTGGAACAGGACTAGACATTACCGAGGATCCGTTATCTCTTCATTTTGCTGATGATCGTGCCATCGGAGAAGGCCACTTCTGGTTGCTATAAAGCTACGGGTTACTCCAAATCTTCCTTTCCCTTGGCTGAAAAGAACCATGGATATTAACGCACTGCGAGTTTCAAAGTTGCGTAGAAAATACCGGTTACTTATGCCAAGACGAATATTTGTACGATACAAATATCGGTACTCATCAACTAGGATATATGTAAATTTTAGCACTAGATATATACAGGTGCAGCATAATACAACGAGTATACAAATTTAACCCAAATCCACTTTATAACCACAATGAACGCAGGTATTAGATCTCCACCTCTTCCTTCTCTTCTTATATTCCTCATCCAAGGGGAATTTTTTAACGATCTCGCTTCATAAGAGATGTCGAATTTTATCTGATCGACCTCGTCCAATTTTGCAGTCTACCACGAATGAAGAAAATCGGAAAGACACTTTTTATGCACACAGGTCTATTGACATAATAAACCTTCAACGAAGTAGACACTATAGATTTTACGAAAAAAAAAAAAAACCCGGTACAAAGTATAGGTGTTTCCGATTTTCGAATTTGATTTTTTGCTGTTTTTTTATGCGTGGTGAATCTCTTGGAATCGAAGGTTTTTTTTTAGAGCTGGGTTTCCAGGTTGTCACCCTGGGTAATTAGACCCATACGATTTTCGCATCTCGGTGCTTTCCCTTTGATGTAGATAATTTTAGGTCATGTGAACCTATCGTGATTGATATCACATCCGGAATTTACGAGCGTGATTATCCCATGATGTTGATCGAAGAAACGTTGACTTATTCGGTACACTTTGCATATTAAATTCGATGTACCTTCACTTTTTTCTTCGGACACTATTTTATGCAACGGTCATTACTGAGCTGAACGCGTGTATAATTGACGAAATACGTTTACGTTACACGATGACGGTAATTGAAAAAAATATTTGTATTTAATGCGTTACCTGTGCAGAAGAGCCATCAGTATGGCAATTGGGCTAGCGATGGAGACACACAGGATAATGTAATAAATTGATACAACATCGTTGTGCGAACAAAAAACTAGCCGAACCGTGATCAATTTTGCACAAGGCCATATTTCTGGTATAACTAGACTGAGAATGTTTTTCTCGAACGAATTTAATAACGAAAGCATACTAGTAACAGTGAAAAATAATTTTGGGACACATTGTCCAGTATTACAGATCTGAAACGTGGGCTTGTGCAATTAGGCTTGAAATTGAATTCGTATACCTTTTTAGTCTGCTCTAGGTCCACAGTCTTAAAAACAATCGACTTACTTTTGATTCTCCTCTTTATGCAAAGCAGTTCCGTCACTTCTGCCAAATCCTTCCGTCACTAGGGCATCTAAAACCAGTGACTGCACCAACGTCTTATCGCCTGAAATACGTGAATTCTGATATGAAATTGTTTGTTACAGAAACAAAGTGAATTTTTAATAAATGTAAAGGAATGCTGAGGCACTGTGTATTTAAGTTAAGAGGGTACTTACAGTAATATGCGTCTTTGTCAGGTATGCTCGCTTGCTTATGATGCGAGCTTGGACTCCTTGGTCTCAAAGACATCCACTTCCAACCAGGCTGACGCGAGCGGCCCAGGAAGTGAAGTATTTGCTCTTCTGGGGTGGCAAATATTTTTTCAGAGGAAGCGCTGTACTCACAATACACCCAGTCAGGGTGAACTTTCCAATTCGTTCCATTAAAGTATTCAGTCACTGCACATAACAGACGCCATTAAATGCTGCACATATTTTTTTAAGATTCTACAATATCAAATCTTGGAATTATAATTTACCATTTATTGTTGCGTGTTTTATTTCCTGCTCTGCCAGTAATTCATACATTCCATAATTTTCTGGCAGCGCCAACCCCAGAGAGAAAGGAGTACCTTCTATCGGCGTGTAAAAGTAATTGTGCCGCCTAATTACGACTCTTTTCTGTAAATTCAATAATTATCGGTATTATTCATTCATTTTAAGAGGAGTATATCTTAACGCGAGTACATGTTTTTTCTGACTTACCATATTGTCGTAATGTATTTTGACTGCAAAATCAGTTTCTCCTTCTTTTTGTTCGATCATATCGCGTCGGAGCTGGGAATGGAAAAAGCGCGTTAAATCGGTAGTGATATTCGTGATGTATTAATAGTGCGATTTCAAATATTTCTTGTTAATTACTTACGTCGAGTAAAAAGGAGTTATTCACAGGATGGAATGGTCCATCGTAATCGGCAAGCTCAACTTCAGTTAAATCCACGCCTACAAATCTAGGTATGGAAGACTCATCGTGCTAAAATAGATAAGAATATAAAAAATTATTGACGATTTGATAATCGGTTTGTCGTTGCATGGAAGACTGTATTATGACCGTACAGTATCATAACGTTGATGGTAGTAATTTGTTATTAAAATTTCCTTACCGTTGGACGCAAATCTGGATGATACAGAACGCGGCCATTATTGTCAACTATGAAAGAATATCCATTCACGCCGAGCTAAAAAAGTAAAAAAGTGTCAAATTTTTCTATAAAGTATTTTTAAATTCATGACGTTAAATTGAAATAAAATGTACCTTGTACGCAGGTACTAGCTTCTGCACCTGTTCCACAGGTACATCCGTTCCAACTACCCCTAATATTTTTGCGGATTTTACCTGAAGTGAAAAAAAATGTAAAATATGAATATTATTAACTAAAACAAATTTCCATTAAACGTTATCCTTGTTACACTTTACCGTATGATTTCGGCGATCTAATATAGGTGCGGTTACGGATGTCATAAGTTGCGCCGAATATTCTTTAGTATATTTATTGATCTGAAATTGAATTGATAATTGGTTAATATGGTATGCACTTGCAATGGTAATGCTTCCAATAGAACTGACCTTTCCTGTCACATGAACAGGACTCCAATGAATAGGATGATCGTGTTGATATAACACCATAGGACGTGCGAGTACCTTAACGTAATCGAAGACATTTGTAGTTATTTCTTTGATACTTGTAATCCTTGAGTAATGACCTTAACAAAAAATGAGATGTCAGTAACTCTTCATCAGCTCTCGACGCGATAACATTTTTTAATGTATAATAGGAAAGTCAGCGTTTGGTACCTTTATTTGTACAAGCTACGCTCTGAAGCTCTGGACTTCTTCCTCCTCCGATCTGATATACAAATATTCTAACTGGCATATGAGGCCAATTGTACTTTTTTATTAATTCCATAGGAGCCTCTCTCGCCTCAGAAGTCAATAACAAGATAACTTGGTTACACTGACTGCCTTGGCCAGTTCGGTTATACTTGTGTAGAATATTAAAGGCTACGTTAAACGCCGCGGATATGTTCGCCTTGGTGTCAGGTAATACTGTCTCTATAGCGAATTTCAATTCTCGAATATTTTCCGGGGACGCTTGCACCATGAGATCCTTGAAACATTGGACGATTTCTTCGGTAGTCTCGGCATATCTATATACATTGACGAAGTCATCCGGCCCCAAAGTATCCAAAATGACTTTCGTCGTTTCAATGGTCAAATCCCGAATTCGTCCCGGTGAAAAGCTCGCACTATCGATCAGGATGGCAAGATCTTTTGGACTGGTAGCCGCACCGACGAACCAATTCGAAATTCGAAATTCATCGAACCCCCGTGTACTGTCCAGAGTACTGTGAAAGGGTATGTCCCCGGATACCTGAGATATCGCTGGAAATTAAGTAGAAATAAAACAAATTACCGAGCCGATGTCCACTCAAATTCTTGGTGTTACTGACGGAATGTACGTTTTCGGAATAACTACATCTCAACGATTTAATGCCGAGGTGGAACGAAGGAAATCTTACCAGGAAAACGACGCAAGAAACCGGAACTATCCCCGTAATATTGCCAAGAAAGCGAGGGATCGCTGTTGTAATTATTAACGAACAGAGGATTCAAGAACTCGCTCCACTGGATACCCGTTGCTACTTGGCTTTCTGGAAAAAAGGAAATCAATTTATTCCTTCCTTTTCCGCAGACGTTTAAATAATCAGAGAATTTTTTAAACAAATTTAAGTTCCTACCGTCGTTTCCGATCCCCTCCGGTAGTAATACTTCGGACAGATTCACGTTAACGATCAGATGATCAAAGTGTCGATTAGGAGTCATCACTGATCCGGCATCAACTTTCGTTTTACCTACATTCGACTGATGAGAAGCATATTTAGGGAAGACGATACCCTCCTTTGCAGCTTGTTCGGCGCTGTCCATTAACCTCTGAAAAAAATCCATGCACCATAAGCGTGTAATCGGAAATAGAAATTTGCCGTGAAGACTAAGTTAGCTAGTCAATTTATTTTTGTTTGATACCGAGGCTTACCATTATAGCATTAATTTTGAAATCCATCATATTTTTAACTTCAACCGCCATATCACGGACTAGCACGAGCCCATCCTTCCTTGTGATATCGGCATCCACGTTATGATATTTCTAATGAAACAGGCAAAAAATATTGAAACGACTTCTTTTTAATATTTCTCCGCTCGACGAAGAGACACCACGAGAAGTAAACGTTTTATAGAAATTATTACTTACTCTTTGTATCTCGCTTATTCTGGTGACTTGTTTCCCGAATGCCCAAAGGTCCACACCAAATTTTAGAGCCCAGTTCTTCACTCTGGAACCGACCGAATATTCGTTAAAAATTCTCTCAGATTTACAGCTATTATAAATTATTATTCCAAAACGAGCCATAACATAAATCTTCAACATTCTTTATTTTATTCCCTGTAGAGAATAAAACGGTAGAAGCGTTAAGTATGCCGGACTGTTATGGCGTCACTCGGGAGGGGATGCGTTTATGGCTTTATCGACGAAAACGTACGTCGCTGACCGCCGGTCACGCTACGTGAGATTTCATCGCTATTCGTTTGGTTTAAACATTCTCGAAGAGTCAAAGATTTTTAAATAGCCACTTTGAATATTTACTGAAAATTAGGAGGAAATTCTTTCTCTCCTCCTACGCAGGGCACTTACTCATTATGGGGTATATCTTCGTCCTGCTGACCGCTGATATGAACAATTAATAATAATATAGCAGTAAAGCACAAATTCCCGATGTACCGAGGCATATTAAAAACACTCCTTTCCAATCGGTCTGTAAATGGATTCCACGATTAGAGACAATTCTCACAGGAGCGGAATTATCGACGATCGAGCTCTTTCCCACGCCTCGAGTATTATCCGACCTAGGAGGATAAACGCGTTGCACTCGTCCACGTTTTACATAACTTTTAGCTTTGCTCAAAGCTAACGATCGTATTTAGACCGCCTTTATACCGTACGATATTGTCATTGGCACAAGTGTGATTTTCTCCACTCTTTCCGAAATTCATCGTTTCTGTCTCTGCTGGACGTCGAGGTAAACGTTTCACCTGATATCGACGACATCGCCGAGGTTTGCGAGAGCTCGCATTAAAAACAATAACGACGTGTAACTATCGATTAAACTTTTTCAAAAGTTCCCTTCTCTACGATCCGCCCGTTCCAAAGAAATGCGCGATTCCGTGTAGAATCGAGTATTACTCGCGTGCGGCTCAACACCGGTTAGGCCCGACATGGTTAGGCTCTCGTGCCGTATATAATATGTGATATGATTTCATGAAACTAGAATAATATCAATAGAAACGTAACGTATATCGTTATAGTAGAATCGTCCAGACGCCGTCCGCCCTTATTCGAGGGCAACGTCCTCCTTCCAGGGACTTGCGTGAAAAAACTCGACGTTTCACCCGCCGCGTCAGACTAGGCTCTTAATATTCCATACTTTATATTAATAATAGATATATAACGTGTGAAAATTCTTATCCGCCGTGTTATACGGAGTGCTCTTCTTCTAACGCGTTCTCGTCTAGGACGACGACGCGTTAACGTTCGGTTCGGTGCTCCGTTTTATCAGACTCTTAATGCTTATCACGTATTCTATATTAATCGCGTAACGGATTATATATTTATGTATATATATATCTCTTAATCGTTGCGTCGGAACGGTCTATCTTCGGGGTTGATTCGCTCTTTTCGGTATCCTGACGATCCCTTTCGTAATCTTCGTTATCAGGCGAGGTGTACCGTGCGATATAATTAGGCTACGTTAAATTTCTCAGTGGCCTCGGCCTGTGGTCCGTGCTTATCAGGGAATCCTCCTTCCTCGATTATAAAAACCGGGAATATATCCGGGTTACTGGAGGACAGGTTTAGGCCTCGAGGGGTCCACTTCGGTTTCCTGCGGCTTTTCCGCGAAATCTTCGAGATCTTCCGGTGCACCTTCTTCTTCCGGTGCTTCTTTCCACCTCCTCGGATCTGCGAACGTTCAAACGTACGTAACTTGACGTTAACCCGACTCTATCGGGAGCCTCGGTAATCCACCCACTTCGATTCGTGTCCGAACGTGCTGGAACGCGTCGCGCCTTCCGGTTTTGCGGGGAAGGGTTCAAGAGGGACCGGAACTCGCCGCTCCGCGGGCCGCGTCCGTCCCGCCCGACGCGTTCATCTCTCGGGAGAAAAATATGACGGAACGAGGGGAGAGGTCCGAAATTCGGGAGAATTGACCTCCAGGGGCTAGGTCGGGCGCGCCGCGCACGTGCACCAGGTTCCTGCCGGGCTGCGAATGCGGGTTTCTACCGGATTTCTGCCGCGGGCCGGAGGAGCTTAGAGGAGTCCCTCCTAGCGCGGCGTCCGACTCTGGTGACACGATAACTCGCGGCGATTAACGATATTTACTCGAATCTCGAGACCGAGGGCGCGGGAGCGGGTTTCGATCGCTCCAGGCGTTAGTGCTTGTATTACCGTAACCGTCTCCACTACACACCGACGGACGCGTTTTAGGAGTCGAGCTTTTCTAGGGGTGGTGCAGAGCGGATATGGGTTGAAAGAGGACTGGCCGCCGGTGGGCGCGAGCGAGAGGGCGCGAGGAGGGTGCGCGATAGAACGAGGACGACGCGAACCGCCCGCGGCGGCGGCGCGCGGCGGCTGAGAGAGAGGGTGCGATAGGTGGCCCCGCGCGGCTGAGAGCGAGGGTGCGATAGGTGGCCCCGCGCGGCCGAGAGAGACGCGCACAGGGCGGAGTAAGGGCGCCGCGGTGCGCTTTTCTCAGGGGCGGGGTGAGCCCCAGACAGATGCCGCAGCGACCGTGACATCGCGCAAGCTCGGCATCATTGATTAAACATACGTCTATACCTTACGTACGCGCGTCTCACTGACGGGGGCTAGGTGACGTTATCCTTCTTTTGCTTTGCACTCTCGTGGAGTATTTATACCGCGACTCGGCCCTGCGTACTTTATGCACCCGACGCGGACGATGTAACCCCGCGTCGAGCACCCGGACCCACGCCTACGAGATTCGCTTTTTGCTTACTCGACCGGGTCGGGGTCCCGGACGCGAGATATGCTACTCGATACTATCGCTTCGAGGAGCGATAACGATTTCACGTCGCGGGGGGGATATAGTTTTTATTGGAACGGGGTTGCTCGAGGGGGGACCTCGCGGGCATGGTCATTGTCATTGATCGTTCTTCTCGAAAAATCGAGACGCTAGGGCGGGCGTCCTCGCTTTCGACTCGGAAGCTGCGAGCGTACGTAAGCTCGTGAGCGTACGCTCGGGGGTGGGTGCGCGGACGCGAGACACTCTCTGAGTGTGGGTACTTCTGTAGTAATAACGATTTTACACGGAGACCGGGAAACCCTTTTTATCGGGCCTTGAATGCCGCCCTCTTGGTAATTGTTCTTCGGATATCGAGGCAATGGATTTATTTGTTTCACGGAATTTATTTGAGGATATGTATTTTGGAGGTAATTTCGTTCTAGAGGGCAACGTCGGTTTTCCTTTGCCATGGACTTATGGAGGATTCCGAAATGTAATTCCTTGGAAGGTATTCCAGAAGGAATCCGATGACCTGCTGGAGTAAAAAAATAATTTACACCGAAGCATGCTGTGTAAAAAAAATATTCGCTTGCACCTTTCCCCAATGAATTTATTTTGCAAAAAATACAGTTTAAAATATTTGCTTTATCATCTAGAGACTTATCCGTTAAGGGAGTTCTACATTAGGATAGATGTTTTAGTAGAATTTGTATCCGAGGTGTTGTAATTTAACACTTGAAAGATCTCAAGAAAAAAGAGATAGTGCAACGAACTACGATTCAATTGTACATAGAATAATAGTTATTCGGTAGAATTCCTATTTTAATCCTTAAAGAAAGGAATAGAAGCTACATATGATCAAATATTGTTTTTTTTTAGTTTACTCTGTTCCCGATGGTTCAACGAGTACATATTTTTTGGTAGAGCCACCAAGGTTTTTTAACTCTTCCACGAGTTCTCGTGGTTTTACCTTGCGTGAAACTATTAACATCCGTTGATCCTTTGGACCATAGCTATGCGACTTTACTCCCATTTGTCTAGCGACTCTATAAAAGAAATAAAATACAGTCATTATTTATCGTTTTAAAATTATTCGATTTCGTAAAAGATGATCACTTGCCGATGAATTAATGCTCTTTCCTCGTTAGTAAAATCGGTAGCAAACACTAAATCGGATGTCATATCACCACTGATGTATTGAGTAAATATTTCTTTGCATTTTCTTTTCAGTACATCCATATTTGAACATTGTACATTCAAACCAAGGCCTTTTCTACTCATCTGTTGTTGAACGCTAAAAGTATTGTGTTAAATGATATAAAAAAAACAGATGATATAATTTAAATATCTAATTGTTCGAGTCATGTGTAATTTATTTTTTTATGTTATACAACTTACGTAATGGGTTCGGTAATGCCTTGTTGAGTTTTCCCTAAACCTCCACCGGACCAACCCATTAATTTCATTAGTTTCTGCCCAATGTTATCGCAAGGAAGTGAATCATTCTTCTTTTTATCGTCACGTAGTGCAGGTCCACTTATAGCTGTACTGCATTCTTCTCTAGCTGCTTTTGTGATCTAAACATATAATTTACTCAGTAATTTATTAATCTAAATTATCAAAATATTTCTTTGTACGAGATGCTATACCTGAATAGTATAGTAGTATTTTCGTAGTTCTAATAAAGCCTTCTCTCCAGCTTCCTTTTTTGCAGCTTTTTGATTTATTCCCAGTCCTTTTGTTAAGAATGTTGTATCGATAAAAATATTACAAATGCTGTAAAAAAAAAGTATACGTTACAAAGTGAAGTTATTGAATTCACTATATATTTCCTACTTACCAGTTATTCTCTGTTCTTTCAAATTTCCATTGCAAATTGCCACCACTGGCATTTACCGCGTTCGCAACTATGCTTTGCGGTGCATCCCCTGGATGTTCGATCAAGACTATGTCTCCGTAAGGAAGATTTTGTGTATCTAATTTTAATCTTTTATTTGGAATGTCATTTATGCAAGTTACCGTGGAAAGAGATGAATTTTTGTGGCGACGGGGTTGTGAATTTGGTTTTTCTTGACTTGTTGGTGGTTGACGTAGTCCTAAAAATTTCAAACTCAGAAATTAATGTTTATCATTTGAGTTTAATAAGTAACTATGCAAAAAATAAATTTAATTTAATAGAAAGAACTCACAGCTTGTTAATCTACCTTTAACCTTAGCATTTGCAACATCCGATGCTTTAACAAATGTTCGTTGAAGTTTTGTCTTTTGCTTCTCTCTGTAATCTTTAGCAACATCATGAGATAAATCAGCAACTACCTGCATTGTCTCTTCTGGATATCTAAGTGACAATAGATATTAAATAATCTAGCTAGACATATTTGGATTATAGTTTACAATTAACTTACCTGCATCCTAATAATTCCACATTAATAAATACTTGAGCTAAACATAATAATTCATCTTCTGGAAATTTTTTATGATGGGCAAGAAGAAATTTTCGTCTTAATTCCCAATGATCCTCGCACTCGTGTTCCAGCTTGTATTGTTCAACATCCCATAAATCTTTTTTACCCGTCATTCTAGAAAAATAAAATAGATCTAAAATATGACTAGTAACATTTGCTTTTCATAATATAATTCTGTGAAAATATTCAACCACAAATATAGCATTAGATTTAGATTCTCGAAGTAACATCTTTTACATTATTACTACAAAAATATTCTATATATAATGATGAATTATCAAATCTAACCAAAATGTTTATATCATATACCTCGCATTCTTTAGTACAAAGCTTTTAAAAACTTGTCAACCTAAATAGAAATTGTACGTCAAAATAATGAACAGTTTACCTAATTGTTACTATGGTAAAACGTGATCACACTACCACAGTTGAATATGGCTGAATATCAACAATCCGACTTAGCCTTTAAGGTAGTATGCAAAAAGAGCGACAACGATCGACGTGACAAGAGAATGTGACCAATAGTCTGGTCTAGTTTTAAATAAAGTCCAATCATCTCTTGTTGCTTATATGAAATGCTGTTCTACGGTAGAGAAGAATTAACCAATCACAAGATATATATGAGAAACGATTTCCAAAACGAAATCCACTTTTGGTAATATGGATTTATTATAGGTTATGGACGTCAGGGTAGTGCTTGTCCAATGGTCAACTATCGCGGAGCATAAGCATGCTCATCTAGACTTTAGTACAGCGAAACCATGACCATAGTATGTGACAACATTTCTAAAATATTTTCATCTAATTAGTATGTGCTTTTGATACAGTTTTTAATTATTGAATCTGTGTCATGGAAGATTTGAAATTCAAATTTCTCGGACTTATAAATAAGCAGGTTTGAACGTCATTCTGTACGTTTTGTAATTATCGATAGGTTATCTTTTTTACCACTGTGTATCTAGTATTGTAATTGACGAATTTGTAAAGTGTTGTTAGTATGTACCATTTTAACAACATAGTAAATGTTCATTAATCAGAATATTATATATAATTTTCAGGGAATCCTGTTTTTAATTTAATCTAATGCACAGTGATAACGTTGCTTCTCTCTGAGACAAACATAGGATTCCATTTATATTAATGTGTCTAGATTTTACTAGATTAAAAATTTTTACTTTAACTTTCAGAATCAGGTAAAAGTTCCTTCAATGGGCCTACATCCTGATCTTCTGAATCCTGTAGAAGTTGAAAAAGTCGATAGCGATCCTTCCGGCGGTGACCATTCTTACAAAAGTGATTTGATCCTTGACCAGAATTTATTAGAAGCTGTAGAACAAGCTTATTATGGAACAGACGTGAATTTTGATCCTCTTAGATATGAGCTTAATAAACTATCGCCAACTTTAAATTCCAAGGAAATAGAGCAACGCTATAAAAGACTGAAACAGCAACATGACGTTGTGTCAAAAACAGTCTTGAGGCTTATATTACGAAAACAAAACGCTTGTAAAGGTGAATTTGAAAAAGTCTTGATGCTTCAAAAACAGCTTCAGGATATGATAAACATTTGCAGAGTTGGAAGAACTGACTTACTTGTGGCGAAAAGTCAGTTTACAACAACTGGTTTAGGTGTTTTAGCAAATTATCGCAAGCGATTAGTCGTTCAAGAATTATTAAGTAATCTCAGTACAATTAAGACATTAGTGAGTACTTTAATTTTATCATTTTTGATATGTTGAATATGTGAAGAATAATAAATCTGAATCTGAGTTTGTTTTTCAGCAACAAACGGAAGATCATTTACAAGAACTCCTAAATGAAGGGAATTATCCTGGTGCAATTTCATTAGTATTAGAATGTCAGAGTGCTGCCATTACTTACAAGCACTTTAATTGCATAGCAGTATTAGAAGAAAAGCTTCAAGACGTTTTAGAACAAACCGAAGAAGAATTAGATGTAATGCTTTCAAAAATGTGTACACAATTTGATATGACGACATACTCATCGATTCAAGGAGCCTATAAATTACTGGGAAAAATGCAAACTGCAATGGACCAACTCCATATGTATTTTACCGCTGCCATTCATAATACTGCTTTTGCAGCGGTTTATCGACATGTGTCAGGAGATATGAAAAAGCCTTACAAAGAATTATGTCAATCTGTTTCCGATGACAAATTTATACCTTGCTTGATAGATCTGTGCAAGTCACTTTGGACTATACTGACATCGTACTATTTAGTCGTTAATTGGCACAATAAATCCAAAATGCATAAGAATTGTGATGCAAGTAAAAAGGATGCAGAAGCAACTTTCAATAAGCAGTATATTGACCAAAAATTAGAAAATGGCATGGTGCGGATATGGCATGACATAGAAATGAAAATATCTACCTATCTGATAGGAACTGATTTGACATGTTTTCCATTTGAACATTTTGTTCAGATCTTAGGAATTGTTCATAGGTATTTATTCATTACCATGATTGGACGTATTTAAGAAATTCTCTCCGTTTCCTCAGTGGTACGGTCATTAATTTATTGAGGAACTAGTTTCTTTAAATAATATCTTCTTTTACTATTCTGTCAAATTTTCAGAATTTTATTTCATATATATATATGTTTATCGTGACAGGCTTATGGAAGTTGGAGAAGAATTGTGTGCAAGCCGCTCTGAAAGTCTTCAGAAATCTATACGAAAACAATGTTTATCGTTTTTCTCACATTATCATGCATCCCGTTTAGATGAACTAAGGATATTTCTGGAAAATGATGGTTGGAAATTATGTCCTGTTAAGACTAACTTCACGGCAATTCAACTCCAAGAATTTCGAAGTTTGAATTCTGTCTTTAACAACAGTGAAGTGCGAAGCAGTCCAGAAGGTTTGAATTTTTATGAAAATGATAATTCTGGTGGATGGCTACAGAGATGTGTCGAATGTGGGGTTTCGCCATTTGAGGTTTCTCTGGATGAGACAATCGATGAAGATATATTGGCTATCATACCGGTAAGGAAATCTAAATATTGAGATTGAATTTTTAAAGCATTTACATACTTATTTTAGGATGATCCATCAGAATACTTCTCGGAAGACTCCGATGATGAGTTGCCGGAAGAACTCAAGCGGGAATATGTAGAAGAATCAGACCATTTGAAAGTGACTCGAAAGAAAACCAAAGTTAAACATATCGGTCCTATGGTTACAAACACTACGTTGAGCATACTCAGGGTATGTGGCAGATATTTACAAATGTCACGATTACTACAATCAATTGCAGTAGCTGTTATTCAGAGCATGATTGAATTCTTTGAGTTGTGCTTTTATGCAGTACATTCATTCTTCACAGCTGATCTTGTAAGTTACAATATAAATTTGTGATAATATAATTACTTTGTTTTTAATTAAAAATTACAACCAACTAAATACCTATTGTATTATGTATATTTCAGCAAATTAATGGTGACTTATTGTACAGCCCAAAATTGAAGTTAACACTAGCGCGAATCAAAGAGAATTTAATCGTCAGTGAACACATTACAGAAGAGGTTGTAAGTCAGAAATATAAAGTTATACCACCAAAGCTTTCATCTACCGTTAATTTAAAACAACCGGAAAAGGTGTATGGTCTGGCTGAACGTATAGTAGCAGTGGAATCGTTGTTATTTCTCAGACAACAGTTTATTAGTCTAAGGCCTTATTTAGAACATCTAACGGATGGGTCGCAGCATGAATTCTTACATCAATTTTATACCCAGACACTGATTTCAGCAGTTGACTTAAGGAAACCAATTTATATGGCTGCGATATCCCAAGCATTTGATACGAATGCTATTTTAAATTCCATGAGTAAAGTGAATTGGGAAGTTCAAGATGTTATGTCACAGCACAGTGCCTATGTCGACACTTTACTTTATGTAAGTGACTTTCCAATTTAATATGGATTATATTGCATAGGAAATTATTTATTTAAGTGGTACGTAGTGGTATATGAATATTAACTTTAGGATGTGCAAGTATTAAGTACAAGGCTTGCCGAGCTGGGAAGCCGTGTACCGTTATCACGAGAAGTGTCTGACTTGATATGGGAGAACGTTGCTCAACTTGTAGCATGCACATTAGTTGAAGGGCAAGTACAGTCCATTTAACCATTTTATTATGTTATATAAAGCACATAAATATAATTTAAGATAATAAAACATTAATTGACTGGACCTGAAATGTTTCTTTGTTTTGCAGTTTTTCAAATGCTAAAAAATGTACAAATGGAGGTAGAGCTCTTATGCAGCTTGATTTTACTCAACTAAGATCAAAGTTTGAAAAATTAACCGCTCTAAGGCCAATGCCTCATTCACAATTTGTTGAGCAATACGTAAAGGCTTTCTATTTACCCGAAATTAGTCTAGAAGAATGGGTGCAGGAACATAAGGTAAGTTAAATGTGATGTTATTAGATAATTAAACAATGCACAAAAATCCTTACGGTAAGATTAGCAAAAAATATAATATCTGATCGATATGCTGTTCAATTTTTTTAGGAGTATACATTGAAGCATTTAACCGGCTTAATTTCATGCACCTGTCAAAATAGTAAAAAGGCACGACAACGATTAATGGCTCTCATAGAAGAGCAACGCATTAATAGGTAACCATGAGTGTGGAATTTCGTGTACGTATTATACTCTCATAGCACGTTCAAGTGCTGCAACTGGTGCAACTCTGTTTTGTTTATATATAGGCGTAAGAGTTTATTAGTTTAAAGTCGAGTTAGCATAACGCGTGCACTTGCTACGAAATGTGAAAATGTTTATTAAAGAGCTTGAATAAATTATCAATAACGTATGAAAATCTTTTATAAAAAGTAAGAATCTAGATGATTTAATATATTACAATAAATGTACAGTAAATTTCGACCTTTTATTGGTGTATGATAGGTAAACCACGTACAACTGCTGCTGCAGCAGTCATATAAAACGAGCAAGCTTGTTTAGACTTAGCTACTGCTCTTAGCATTTCTGGTTCCTCCGACTGGCAGCCAATATCCTCGGTTTTATCTTTGAATTCTGAAGCATAAAATTATAACAATAAATACATATCAGATATATAAAGGATGTTATATACTTTAGAGATAGAATGTCAATATTAACGTAAATGTGTATCATCTCTTTTATGTACATTCGTACTATTTTATAATCTATAAAAATGAATTTATGAAAAATACTGACTCAAATTTCCATTGCACCATTCATTGACAATTACGTCAGTCCATGGCCGGGCATTAAGTGGAGCCGGTATCCAATTACTAACGAAGGAGGCTGTCATTTTATCGACATCGATATCAGTCACCTCCCACAACATTCCTAAAATGCAAGGACTACAAACAAACACAAAAAGTGTATCTGATGAATTGTATTAATTTTAAAATCATTTGTTAATTAAAAAATGGTCTTTAAACGTTAAAAAAATTACAGAAGGAGAATTTTTAAAATGACCTGCAAGCAGCTAAATACTGGTTTGAAACTCCATAAGGTGGAAAGCGACCCCCAATAGGTATTAATTTTGTGCTGGAGCAGCCAAATAATAGGACAATTGCTCTGACTCGTAATTTTTCTATTTTTTCACCCGACAAATACTGTATGCCGCTGCCATGTCCATTATACCTGAACATTAAACAAACGTTAATGTCATGTATGTATTATTTTATATAAAACTAAACGAAATGGTGTACTTGCATTAGTACATCATGATTAGTGAGGGCCTTTTCAAAAAAGTCCTCTTGCGGTTCTTCATTGTATAAACCTGTCCATCGTGGCAACCAATATTTCATAAACACCTTCATTCGTTTCTCCATGTTCATTAAATTTCCTGATGGGTTAACAATGCATGTTCCGATGTCTCCTAGATTCTTAACAACTCTACAACCATTTTCAATATAATTGCGATGTTCCTTGAATAGAGCACGGGCGATATGTAGTGATGGAAAACGTGTTACTGGATGATTTTTTAATATTTCCATTGCTTCAAAAGGAATGTAATCCATTTGCTAGTGAGAAAAAGTTTGTAAGTGCTCTTTAGAATTTTTGTAACAAAAATACACTATGGGTCTTACCTCATCTATGATTAAAATTAATGTTTTCCTCTTCACGGAAGATAGTGGTTTTACTTCTTCTGCTTTTTCATTTATGAACAATATAATATCTTTCATAAGTTTCGTATGTCCAGGTAAAACATGTTTTATTGCTAATTCGATTTCTCTTTTTGTTAAAAAACATGCACTTGTAACAATTTTCTTTAATAACCATCGAGATGTTTCGGTTATACCTCTGTACAGAAAAGATGCTTAATTAATTTTATGCCAGTGTAACTATTGGGGTTAATTATTATTTAACAATACTTACATCAAGGAATTATTAGCAATAAGTTGATCAACCATGTCTTGAAGTTCTTTTACTGACTTCAAATCATCTATTGGGTCTGCCATGAAGAGAATTCTCCATTCTCTTAGCCATGTATATTCTAACCCATCCACTGCTGTCTGCGATGAAATTCACAGTTCTTAGTTAAAGATTTCTGAATAATTATATAATTGGACATAAAGTACCTTCATTCTATCATTTTGTCGCTGTCGCATTTTCCAATAAATTTGTTTACTGGAATAAGGAGCTTGAAGTTCAAATTTGCAATTGGCTAATATTTCGTGAATCTCTTGACAAACATCGTAAGTAGATTGAGACTTTGGTGTCGGTACTGTTATACATAGCAGAGGAATTCTTTGTTGACCAGTTGGAAGAACGGTAATGTGGATCGAGTGCATTGCAGGTAATCGTTGCAAATCATTGTAAATGAACTTCCGGTGATCGTGCTGTGCAGTGACTTGAATCATGTACCATTCTACAAAATGGATTTCAACATTAATTACAAATGAATAGATTTGGAATCAGAGGATCCAATTGATTCCATTTTATTTCAATGAAATGTTTCTATTTCAAAGTTGTGTTACCACTAGGAAATTCCTTTAATACAGTATTCAGTTTGTTAATCTTTTCAGGACCTGTGATGTCAAGCTTTGCAGACATCGGATCCAAACCATATTTTTGTGGCTCATGCAAAGAATACTCTAGTGCTTCATTTTTTAAAAATCGATGAAGTATTCGTTGACGTTGAGAAACAGAATGAGATTCAATTAAATAACAAATACCCTCTTTCATTTTTTCTTGCTAAAATAAATAGGAATGAAAAAAAAATTGCGTTGAATCCATTCAGTAGTATGGAAAGGAAAATTTGTATGTACCGCAAAACTGCATCGAGCTAACATCTTATTCATATTCGAATATTCCACGCATGGTATTATAAAGTCCATTTCAGCAACAAATTCTTCTGTATCAACTTGTAATTTGTATATTGAATCATTTGATGGGAATCTGTAGTTCAATTCCTTCGATCGTAAACGGTATTTTTTGGACTCGTTTAGAAGGTCTTTCATTTGCTCTTTTGCTGTATTTGTCATTGTTAACTTCTATTTATAGCCCAGACTTTGTTTTTAGCACAATTTAACACATCGAACAACAGTTTGAATTTTCGAAACCCAATCATGAACTATTCCACGATGATAGTCAAACGACAGTAACACAATTTTCACCTCTACATAATTTGTGAGAGAGGTAGAGGTGTAAATTGGTTCAGCGATGAGTCTGATTGGTTAGTGTATTTGACTATAAACCCGGGTTACGATACTATCGCCATCTTACGTAGTTTTTAATGCCATATCCATTTTCTGAACAAACTGGTCAATATTTTACTACGGAAACTTTAAGATTACAAGTACGATCGGAATATTGGAAGTGGTTTTTTAAGTGGTAATTTAGATGCCTAAACATTTTCCTTTGGTTGTATTCAGAATATTTTAAAAATATTTCTTCAGTGTCCTATGTTCATTAGAAAATAAAGTTCGATTAAGTGAAACACCGTAGGTAAAAGATAAAACGATTACATACTAGATAATTTGTTCATTTATTGAAAGTTCGGTTTGAACACAAATGATCTCATTTTTCCACTTGGCGCCAATTTTTGACCAGCTGTGAGTCAAATTCATAAGAACGTTTAATATCGATTAGTTGCAAATTACTTAAAAACCATTCACCGTCCTACAACTCTCAGTAGTTATGTAGAAATCTTCTTGTGAATTAACGTTGTTATCTTGACATTCACTGTAGTTGTTTAAAAAATATCAAGTATCCAATTTATTGTAATTTGTTACTAATTTGACTTGCTCTGCAAGTGGCGAAGCATCCAATCGTTTTTATTCCTCTAGTGGTGTCTGTTGAAGCTGCGTAACTGGTTCTGCGTGTTAGGTCTAATTTGATCACTTGTCCCACGTTCTTCGCTTCGGCTTTCGAGAATTCTTCAATTTTCAAAATGATTTCATCGATCGTTGCCCGATCCACGTTTTCAGCAGGTTATAAGTTGCAGCAAGTCCGAACCATTGTTTCTGGACCTCCCCGGGTCAGGATACCATTAGGCGTAAGTAATTCTGAAAAGAAGAAATTGATTATCTTATGTAACTTCTAATATTGAAAGTACACTATTGTCGTTTTACATATTTTTCGTTTAGGTTATTTCACGTTTTCTATATATTGCCTTGAACAGCGATGCTGAACTACAAGGCCAATCGATGTTGTGATATATTTTTTAAAGGGAACATGAATTTTGTATTTCCGCACTTGCTCATTAATTAGTAGTAGAATTACCACAGGTGTTTAGATGTCCCTGCATACATTTTATTAGACAGTGATAGCATTGGATAATAACCAAAAACCTTTTATTTACTTTTGAAACAGTTAAGCAGTTGCGTAAATGAGATAATGGATAGTAGCGAGGTAGCAAATTTTTCAATCACGTGTGTAATGTCTGAATTCTATAAAACTTGCCATTGGTATGTCCCAGATTATATTAAGTCTTGATTACTGCATATATATCTATTAACTCTTTAGTGTTTCAATTATTATATTTCACCTAATAATTTTTTTAAATATTTGTTACAGGAGAAGATAGCTCATGGGATTGCAATTAGCATTGGAATTCTGGTTGTCCCTATGTATATTGCTGTGAATATAAAGAATTACCGAAAAGCTTAAATTGTGCACCCATTTTATAGAATAACATGTAGATATAAATAAGGATTCATGTTACATGCCATACAGCAAGATTCATTGTAACGGTAAAGCTGCTATAACACATGCTAAAGATGGAGCGATGACGAGGGAAGAAATAAATGATTTACCTTGAATCGTTTGTATTATTCCAAACGAAGTCGGGTTCCAGTTTTGAATCAGAGTGAGTTCTGCAAACACATTGTGTGAGAACAAATTTATGTTTAAGCCACGTTATATATTTTTTTATATCTGTTTATATAGTATTCCGACATTAGGTAGCCGACTCTGGTACCGATAAACTATCCAAGACTATTCTCAGTTTACAAACAAGTCGATAAACACGATATAAAAAAAAAAGGGATGAACTAGCCGTTAGCTAAACTCTTCTCTGGGTTCTCGGTATTAATTACTAATTTAATATTTGCAATATGAAGAAAAATTCAGTTCTTGGAACTTGAGCCGTGCTCGGTATGCTTGTCATTCGGGCGATGTTGCTTTCCTTTCAGGTATTTGACTCTAGTCTCCGTATGAAGTTGGCAATGAGGTGTTTAAGGAAGTCGCATCCGTCAGCCATTAGTGGTCAATCCGTATCTACTTGAAGGTAAATCGGTCTCTTACGTTGGTCTTTTCATGCACCCAGCTCGTGATCGCAGTCACCTCTTCCACCAGTGGTTTTCGCTCTTGGCGGGCTGTTAGCCGTCTCTTGACAAAGTACGTTGACTCGTGTTAGCACAAGCGACTCGCCAGTCCGCCGAGAGAAGGGGAGAGTTTTGCCCGTACTTGGTGAGGTGTTATCGAGGTGTATCACGTTGATAACAGGGTAAGCGGTATCAGCCGTGATTAGTTTTGCAAGTCACAACGCCTGCGAATTTTTTACTTCAAGTTGGGCCCGAAATCAACCAAAAGCTTTTTTTTGAACGCCTCTTACTGGATAAATAAGTCCCGACCGAGGTCTCTTGGAGTTGGAATTTCATCCGTGCAGTGGACGTGGACAGAATATCAGGTTCGGCCATCTTTTCGATATCTTTTTTCTCGAGAACATCCAGGTTGCCACCGAGAAGCCGTTATCTACGTCAACCTGTAATCGAGCGAACAATCGAGGTACGGATTTTGCTGAAGAAATTGCGAGTGAACGTCGCTCTGAGTTTTTGGATCTGCGAAGCCTTGACGCTGCCAGAATACGTACAGTTAATCGACGAAGATTCGTTTGGAAGAAGTTCCTTAACTTATGCCACCTTCGGTTAGTTTAATTATAATTTATGAACGAGCCAGGATCGCGTTATCGGGCGAAAGGAGTGTCGCGAGCGTTTCCACGCGTGCTCGACGCGAGTGGAAGCAACGAGGAGTGGTTCGGCCGGTATTCGGTCGTTATTACTTAAACTTCTCGAGAAGTTTGCCACTGTTGGGAAATTTCGAGGAACTCGCGAGAGGTTTAAGCACCGAAGCCTCGCCGAGAAGTCGGGGAGTCTTCGATCTCGGTCGTATAAACCGGAGCATCGTAAGGTCGCCTCATCGAGTCTTCGACGAAACGAGCTCCCTTCGAGATTTCGGTGAGTCCTCGAAAATCGGGAAAACGATGCATTCCTGTTTTTCCAGGACGATCGCCGAAAGTCCTTTCGCAGCAGAGGCGTCGTTCGCTTCCGGTCGACGGAAGCTAGGTTCTGGATTTTCGTGCTGACGAGAGGTTTCTCGATGTTTAGGTCGAAGGTGAGACGATAAATCGGGAGGGATGCTCGCATTGGCCAAAGTTGCTGTCAGGAGATCCGTTGCTGCCGTCGGGACCAGTCCTGGATCTGGGATCCTTGCCAGGAACATCGTCTCCGGGCCGCCTCGAGTTCGCATCCCATTCAAAGTAAGTTCTTGTATTTTTTACCCGCACTCTGAACTCAAGAAAAGAATTTTATCTCGAGCAGGATGCGTTAAACATGGCCGAAAAATAATTTAACCGGCTAATGTTTTTATCGAAGGTGTTCCTTTGAAGGAGGACATGATAATTAACGTTTGTACGGACGAGAGGAAGTTGTAAAAACTTTATTCGAGGAAAGTATGTCAGGTTTAGTTTCCGGGCGAACGAGATGACAAGGTAGCTTTTCGCGACAAGGACATCTGGATCCTTGGTGACGGTTACGAGGGAGATGTAGAGGCGAAAGAATTAATTTACCTCCTTCGATGAATACTCTGATCGAGAGGAAATGTTTTAACATGGCTTCGACGATTACGCGTGGAATCAGTGAATGACATTTTTTCTTTTCAGGAGAAAATGTTCCACGTGGCCTTAATCTCCGTGGGAGTAATCGCGTATCCAGCGTACATCAGTGTTAACCTGAAGCACTACAGGTCCAGTTAAATGAGGAAGGAGTGTATCATTTTTTCCTGATAGATACGGATATTAAAGTCGTCGATAGAATGTATACCCAGTTATCTTCCTATGACACTTTGTCTGGAAAATTTGCGTCGATCGGTCCAAATTTAGGAAACAATTCCTGCGATTAATTCCTACTTTTAAGATACGAGAGATATTTCTTTCAACTTTTTTTTCTTTCAGTAACTTGAAGGGAAGTTAGCGAGGTACGATAATCGAGTGGCGAGGTTTCGGGTTCCTTGGGCCTGCCCGAGCTTACATTTGTGGGCTTCCTTGGAAAAGGAATTTCCATAACGAAGGAAGAAACACGCCCGCGAGGTATTTGTTCGCAAGTAATGCTGGTATAATCGTTTTTGCAGCAGTAACTGCAAAGCACGGGGCAAGGCGTTCGTGTCCGCCGGTAATTGTCGAGGTTCGCTGTTGAGTTCACTCGTGTCGACCTCCAGGCACGGGATTCCGTGATTAAGGACCACCTTTCGTCTCTGCGAACAATGAGATGCGGCATGGATACGAAGACGAACGGGTCCTGGAACGTGAATCTAAAACTTCGTCGCACCAAGGAACGGATTAACCGCGTTTCATCGTTTACAAATGATCGGGTTAACGGGTCAAATTTGTATTTCTCAAGGATCAGCGCGATTTGTTCTTTCGGAGAAGGCGTTCGACAGGAAGAAGGTGAGAAAAGAAAGGGAAATTTGCATCGATTTAACTGGTCGAAGCTCGAAACGACGTCGAGTGGTTGAGCGGAAAATGCAACGCGCTTAATCTCGTTTATAAATTAACGCGTTAACAGGAGTTTGTAAAATGTGTGTCTCCCAAGGATCAGCGTGTCCTTTCAAAGGAAGCACTCGACGGTGTCAAGGCGAGGAAAGAAAGGGAAATTCGCGGCTGATCCGAGTTAACCGGTCGAAGCTCGAAACGACGTCGAGTGGTCGAGCGGAAAATGCAACGCGTCGCGTGCCGGGGCGGCGAATCGAGCGCTGGGGGGAAATCGAAGGGTGGAGGAGAGGACGGGGCGTCCTCGTTTCACGGTCAGTTGGTACCACCGATATCGGACCCCTCGCCGCCTTGCCGGACTCGCGTACCTTCCGTCTCCCCGCGGTTGGCTGCACGCCGATCGTTTCTCGATAAACGGCAAAACGTCGCCAAAACGAAACGCCCCAAATCGGGATTCGATCGCGCTGCCTTTGCGCTCATTTTCCGTCCGGTCCCGTCGACCAGCGTCTACCGAAATAAAGCGGCATGAAGCGACTCGTCCTCCCCCTTAAGATGTTACCCACAGGGCTATCTCCGGAAAGATTTGACCAAGGATACCTCCTATCTCGAAGGTATCTCAGGGCAGGTCCGACCGCGGAATCTTGCGTCGAAGTCGAACTCGGTTGCGCACCCCTCGGATTTAATCTAACGCCCTTTCGAACAACCCGGGTGCCGTAGATTATCCCTTTCCCACCCTGGAGTCGGTGTTTGCCCGAGGAGATTGACTCGATCGAGTGTCATCGGGAGGATGGCTTGTAACCGATTCGTCGCCTACGCGTTCCAAACATATTACTCGGGAACGCGAGATCTAGGCGGTATCTCGCACCAAGAAGAGCGGCGTCTTTATCCCAGACCTCGCGATCGACGTTTCCGGAAATCGAGGGAGGAATTTCCCGGTTTCTTCATGCATGCCTTAGAAATGAGAATTTCTCGGCCAAACCACGCGGAGCGACGAAGTCGATTCGTCGTAGAGAAATTCATGTTGCTGTACGGGCCGAAGTGGTCGTTGCGCGCTTGTGGTCCATGGTGTACCGAATTTAAATAGAAATCGGTCCCAGACGCGGTCGATCGCTTCCTCGAGGCGGGCCAGGCCGCTTTTCGATTTCGACTCCGAAATCCTGAAATCGGGGCCGAGTCTTTTTACTCGATAAAAATAAAAACGTGCCGAAAATAGCCCGCGGGGACGATTTATCGCCCGGTCGAGCCCGCCCCTCGGAAAGGTAACGGCCAAAGGTGTTTCGATAGATGCATCGCGAATTCGGTTTTTCCAGCAAGCGAACAGTCGTTTAAATCGCCCCTTTCCCTCCGTTTTCTTTTATACGCGAGCTCTGCTCTAGTTCCCTGCGCGGTTTACCCCGGGATGTACTACGTTTTGCGATTCAGGAAATTATCGACGACTGCCGCGATTCGTTACCTCCGGCATGGAAAGGGGGTACGGTGTACTCTAAAGAAAATAGATTAGGAATAAATCGACGGATTTAATGAGTTCACGTGAGCCGGTAAAGGTTCCACGGGGATTGTATGCGCGAAGTATCAGAATGCACCTCTAAAAAAAGTAGGTCTATGATTAAAAAAAAAAAAGAAAAAAGAAAACAAACAGGTAGAGAATTTTTCTGAGCGATTCGTTTAATGCCAGGCTCTTCGTTTTTGAACTTGTCGCACCTTCTTGAACGTTTTTTTTTTTTTTAAAGAATCGCTTGGAAGGCGGTCGTCCCCTTGACGATGCGATGCATAGTCACTCGAAGATTGCCAAAGGAAAGAAAAAAAGGAGAGCGAGGCTTTAAGACCCGGCAAAAGCGTCGGATAGACGGAGCTAACCTACCCCAAGATAGGCGCGCTCGCGTGAGAGAAAAGCACGGGGAAGGTATGCAAATGGCTGCAACCAGCGTTAAAAGGGAAGGATAGTCTCGGGCACACCCTTTCGTAAACTCGGCCGCAGTTTCGCACCTGGGATACGTATAGAGCTCGAGCCTCGCGTGCGCGCGCATCTTCGGCGCTTAGAGGAAAGTTATGTACCGGTCACCTAAATCATGCTCCGTGTTTTTTTTTTCCTTTTATTTAATATTTCTCACGTCCAGTGCTATATGATACCCCGTGTATATTTCTTTGTTACTATTTAACACTCGTGTTAATATATACCATTAGACGTCACGAGTATTAAATAACGAAAGTATGGACGGGATACGATTCTAAACGCTATTTAATATTTAATTCCCGTTAATACCTATACCAATATTAAATATTAAAATCATACTCGGGGTATCATTCTGGCGACTGGTATAAATTTGGCGTTACCCCTGTTATCCCGTGTTATAATTGACAATATACGAATTATCCACCGTTATATCCGCGGTCCTTTACAAGCCGAGTTTAATTCAATTTAATTTAGACATTGAAGTAGTTATCGTTCGGACGCGATTGGCCGGAACGTTCGATGTCAATGGTCTTAGTTTGGATGTAATTATAAGACCGGTCGTTGTTCTAGTTATGTCCCGTCGAGACGATTTGACGATTATGCGTTCGATTCACCATTTTCATTGATAGCGATCGCGATATGTCGGTTACAGATATCGTTTGATCTCAATGGTCTTAGTTTGGATGCGGTTACAAGATCGATCGTTGTCCCAATTATGCCCCGTCGAGACGGTTTGATGATTATGCGTTTGACTTGCCATTTTCATTGAATAGCGATCACGATATGTCGGTTACAGATATCGTCCAGACGCGACTGGTCGGAACGTTCGATGTCAATGGTCTTAGTTTGGACGCGATTACAAGACCGATTGTTGTCCCAATTAAGCTCCATCGAGACGGTTGACGATTATGCGTTTGATTTGCCATTTTCATTGAATAGCGATCGCTACACATGTCGGTTACAGATATCGTCCGG